CTACTCACATGATTTATCACCACCAACAAAGACCAAATGGTGCTCTGTTAGCGTCAAGAGGACCCATCTGCATCAGACTCTCCGCAATTCAAGTTCAATTTAGGAAGCCCCCCTTTAGATGGGCCCTATGGGACGAGGTGTGATTTAGCGCAGACGCTGTTGCAGAATGAAATCTTTAAATCTTGATTAAGTATTTGATATGTTCTTCCACGGGGACGTGAATTACTGCTGCCTGTTAAAGTGGTAGTTCACCAAATTTACCCAGTTTTGCCCTCCAAATATTAGTCAGCCCAGACATGTTTGGTGTCTGACATTTTGTTTTTCAGTTTCAGCTCCAGAGGCTGAATTACAGAGACATCTTCACTGTGAAATCTGATCTGTTTAGTCTCCGTGATGACTTCAGTACAGACTGAATTTAGGACAGCAGCTTTTACAGAACAACAGTTCCTACCTACATAATCTCATCATTAACTCCAGATAAGAAAACAGTATCACACAAACATCCTGACTAGACTAACTAGACTAAATCTCCTAAATACCGTCCTAACTTTAGGATAAACCCCAACAGAGTCCTAACTTCTGTTTAAGGGTCCGTTTCTATCGTTTTTAGGCATCTGTGTCTGCAGCATAGTTCACTACTAGCATACTGACGCTACATTTATTTATACTGTAAAACACTACTTTCACTGTGAGACGTTTTTCTTTTCTAACTCTGCGTTTATCACACAGTAACAGCAGCAGTAACTTACATTTTTAACATTATTTTGGTTACGTGTTTACGTCTCAGCTGAGTGGATCGTCGGTGCTAGGCAACAGACATTACAGTCAATTGTTGACTTTGACTTAGCAGGTTAAGATTTCATAACTTGAGATGATTCTGTAAGATAAGATTTCTAAATTAAGATCAGATTCGCTTCTGTAATACGAATTTGTGAAAAAACTTATCTTGATGTGTCGGATCTTAACTTAGGACAAAAAGACAGGAAGTGTCTGTAATACGGCTCCAGAGCTACAAGGCTAATGTACTTATAGAAGTAGTGCTGGTGGTTAAATGGAATACACATCTACAGGTTATGTTAACGTATTTACTACTGGAAAAAAGCAAATGTAGAGGGTAAATTATCAGCCTCAGTCAGTTCAGAATCTCTAATAGACTTGATTATGTGGTTTCTGACACCGTATGACTCACTGTTATCTATAAACATGGACACAAAGATGGACAAAATTCAGGATGGCTGCTACTGTTGTTTTCAGTCGTGCTTCTTACGTTTCTCTAATTAGCTTCAGCAGCAAAACTAAAGAAGCAAATTTCAGACATCAGTGATTTGTGGCTGATCCATTGCTTTAAGGCGATATTCTCTTGAGGTGAGAGTGAGACAAGGACATGAGCTGTTCGGTGGGATTATATTTCTGCACATCACCTCAAAGAGCTTCACTTCAGAGAGAGAATTAAACCGTCTCACAGCCTGTCACTGCGCCTCAGAGCGAGCTGAACAGCAACCGCCACAGAGGAGCTTCAGACATACCAGACAACCCTGGGCTGGCAGGAGATCATGACACATTTTAGCAATAAAACAGAAAATTCTAGTGTATATCACTGTCGTGATATGCCTTGCAGTGCATTAAAAACATATAACCAAAAAAAAGAATCTTAATTCTGATCCTACACAATCTTCAGTCATGATTATAACAGAATGATAATCTCTATTATGGATGTTCTTCAATGTAATTTTTGGGAGTTGAGAGAAAATAAAACAAATGTTATCCAAGTGCAGGGAAACGCAAAAAGAATGAGAAAAGCAAGAAGTTTTCGGTTTCACTTCCAAAAACTTGGAGTAATTACTCAAAACAGATAAATCTCTTAAAGTGCACTAATTAAATTACTTATTACTTCTTGGAAAAAGTAATCTCACTACTCATTACTTTGCTTTACACTGTGTCAAATTATTTCACAATACTGGCAGATAATTTTGCTTGTTTCAAGCATATTTTTAAAACAAGAAAACATCATCCGCCAATATAGTGAGATCATTATACTAAATAAAATTACTTAAGTAAAATGAAATAAGTTGAATTATCTCATAATATTCTTTCAGCGATCTCAAAGTGAGAATTATTATACGTCAACTAGATCTAAGATGATTTTACTAGATAAGATGTACATTTTTGCAGTGTAGTCGGTGGGGCCACTCAGGGGCCAAGAGCTGTAACTGATTCAAAAACACTAGAAAAACTAAATCCACCCTAAATATCACCACATCATTTAAACAAATAATACACGGTGCAGCTCTAGAACACAGCTGATCTGTATCTGCTCCGACTAAAATGGATGGGCTCGTGTTTCAGGCCCTCCCTAATGGATCCACTCCTACATAAGGCCGTGGACTAAAAAGCCGTGCTGGTCAGCAGAGCAGCGATATGATGCGGTTTAGAAAGTAAAAAAAAATCTTAAGATTAAAAATCTTAAATGGCACACTATTTAAGGTGGAATGGGAGTTGAAAGGTATGAAAAGGGATGAGGAAGTTGTTCTCTGCTGGACAGGTGGCAACATTAACTTATTTTTGCTGTTTTACAGAATCAATAGGTCAGTATTGTTTTGCTAATTGCTAATATTTGTGTTAGCTTTGCAGCAGCAATTGCAGCGACAGTTTGCTAACCCACAGTCTAGCTAACATTTGATACATTACTTGCTGTGTGGTTGTTCACTGTAACGTTATATCATGGTATTTGTTTGTACAACATTTGTGAAGGTTTTATAGCCAAGAAGATCTCAAAAAAAACAAGTTTGCTAGCTCAGTGTCGTTCGCCTTGGCAATGTGCGTCCATGAATTTGGGGGCAGAGCTTCTGAAGGAGTACTGAGGGGAGGGGTGTGTTTGTTTAGCTGTTGAGTTCAAACATCAACATTCTCCGGAATCACTTACTGCACCTTTAAATTATATTAATTTATACATATTTCTTGAATATAACACCAGATAATGCTTTTTCTGTGGCATAATTGAACAAAATGTAAACATTTAAAACCATGTTGACAGGGTCATTAAGGCCACCATGTGGCACACTGCTTGATGTCTGAGACACTGTTTTTCGATCGTTCTGAGAAGATTTTGGACTAAATGTATACATTTTACAGTGCTCTCACTGTGGTGAGGTACATACAGGGCATTGTACGACAAAGGAAACTGATTATTACAGGTTTTCCACTATTTTCCATCAATCACATTCCACATAAAACTCAGAAGACACGTGTAGGTTCACAGGTGGTTTTGGATAATAAATAAAATGTCTATATTTGTGTTGTAGTCATGGTGACCCCTGGTTCCTATCACCACCACTGTAAAGTCATCTGAACCATTTCATACCAAACCACTCTGAATGACTCATTTTAACCACTGAATCATGCAGAAATTTTGAAAAATCACTGGAATTCTCCTTTCAGACTGCAGCCTGAGACGCTGGAGTGTTCGTAGGGCTGGAACAGTCACCAGTTTAAATGATATGTTTTAAACAACTTCATAATCAGGCTGTTAAATTAAAATGATTCCAATAATCGAGTAAGATTAGTGTCTTTTTTACAATGTTTTCAGTGAAACCAAACAGCTCTACTAATGAACAATAACTGTGTTATGTTTATCTAAATTATGTTTGAAAATACAGCAAAATGAAAGCGAGCTTTCTAAAGTTTACATACTTTATCACTGTTGTAAGTGATGAGGTGATTTTCATATCGTCCAGTCTCTGGGTGTAAGTGTGCATGAGTAAGCAGCGCAGGAGTAAAAACGTCATTACAGCAGCAATGAGGCAAACACACGGGCTTCCTGCCACTCAGTGCTCTCACATAAAACACGTTCTGGGAAGCAGAAACCAAACCAAAAGCACACGGCCCAACCCACAACTACACTAACGGAATTATCTCTGGTTTTCTATAGCAAGGGGCAAGTAGAAAAACAGCCACATTTAACCCTTTACACTGTAAGGGCCTGTACGAGGGACCACGCATCAGTTCCTCAATCTCACAACTACAGAACTTACATGTCAGTTTCATAAAAAGATATTGAATAATTCATAGTTGATTCAGAATAATTTCTAGCAGATACTGAATAATTCATCGTAGTTACTAATAATGTTTATAGTGAATACTTAATATTTCATAGTAGGTACTGAATAATTCATAGTAGATACTGAATAATTCATAGTAGTTACTGAATAATTCATAGTAGATACTTAATATTTCATAGTAGATAATGACTATTTCATAGCAGATACTGAGTACACTGAATACATACCACAAAATTAGGTTTTGATAAGTGGAAAAGTTAAGTTCGATAAGATATAACAGATGAAAAGTCTCAGCAGTGCAACATGTAAAAATGCTGTCAGAAACAATAAATATCATGATTATGTAATACCTTTTATTCAACATTTCAATCCCTGCAACTAAACAGGACTATTTATGCTCTCTGTGTAATAAAACACGCAGTAGCTCAGTGTTTTTTATGTACTGACGAAATTCACAATATGCAAAATTTATCACATTAAAGATAAATATCGCCATATTGCCCACCCCTATTCATAAAGGATACTGAATAATTTAGAGAAGACACTAAATAATTCTTACTAGTTGCTGAACATTTTAGTAGCCGTAAAATAATTTGTAATAGATATTGTTTTTGCATATATTATATAATTAGCAATAAGTATATTTATAATGAATAATAAACCTTATGATTAGTAACTGATTAATAAGCTTACAGTATAAAGTTTCTTTCTTAAAGCTGCCTTAAGTGTCTGTAAAAGTGACCTCATAACATAAAACATTAAAACTATCACATATTTAAATTTTTATCAGCTATTTTTTTTAGTTTAAGCTGCACGCTGCCGCTTCATGTGCTCCACTGCTATCAATTTCAACCAGAAAAACAGCCCATGATTGCACGTGAAGACGGCCGTCAAAGCCGGAGGAGAGAAATCAGTAAGAAAGGAAATAAAGCCAAAACAAACCCACTCAGGCCAGGTTTCCACGCTGCTCTGAAGGGGAAATCCTACAGCTTCACACTTCCTGCCATCTTCTCCTCTGCTCCTCTCTCTCTCTCTCTCTCTCCCTCTCTCTCTCTGACCCCACCCCCCCTCTCTCTCTCTCCACCCAAACTGAAATGCACTTATCTCAGCACAGCAAGAGCGAGATCAGCCAACGCCCAATCAGGCCCGTCGCTCCGTCGCCCGGGCAACGCTCCACTCCATTTCAATTGGTTAGAATTCTCCAGGCCCTGGGATGCTGGAGGCATCACCGTGGCGATGCCCCGTTTGATCCTTTGGGACCAACACTGGAGACTCCAGAGCACTGCACGCTTCTCAACAACAAGGTCAAGAACTTTATTATAATCCATATCAGGGTTTTTATATTGTAGTTTGGAAATTTGGTTTTTCATTTTAGTTTTTTGATTCAGCTTAGTTTCTGTTAGTCTTAAGGGCGCAATGGTTTTACCCTTTTATTAAATACCAAACACAGATACACACTTCTAAACTCTCATTCACACACTGAAAATGTAATATAATATAATATGATATAATATAATACATATGTATACTCAGAGAATAAAGAGTCCTATCTGTGATGCAGCTGATCAGGTAAGTCTCACACCTGTGGCTTAATGCGCCGTGTTAGAAGAAGAAAAACATGCTAAAGAGCGCTGCTCTAGACGTCTTTATCGCTGTCTCTATCAGAATCCGCACAGCCCACCGGAGCGCCTCTGTAAACACACAAATCCCCCCCTACTGCTGAGAACCTGCTTTGAAATCTTTCAGGGCTTTTATCATCAGAACAATGACTTTACTGCAGTTTTCCCCACAGAGAGAACCTTCAGCACTTCAAAACACACACAGCACACATCAGGGCTGTATATTCCTGCCTTTGTGGGGGTTTTATGTCTTTCTGTATGAGTGAATAACCTTAAAGCGATAGTTCAGCCACAACTTCAGATTCCTCCAATGTTCCCTCCTTTACCACACACGTAGTTGATCAGCCACGGCATGTTAGGGGTCACAATTTTGCTTCTTTAGTAGAGCTATGAGGCTAATGTAGCTAACAAGTAATGGAAGCTTATACCACCATTTAGCATGGTGCTAACTGCATGGGGTTCTATACAGAACCATCTACAGCACAATTTCCATTAACGTGACGAACCATTTCCCCACACAAAGAACATTTTAATTACGCAAAGGGTTCTGAACCCTTCAAATGGGTTGAAGAACCACCTTTTTTAAAGAAAGTGGTACACACTGTTTCTGCGATTCACTCAGATATCAAAAAACGTATTGTATGTGTATAACTGATGTCTATACAGGCCATTTTTATACATACAGTACTGTGAAAAAGTCCACACTTCATTTATTTGATTTGCACTTGAAATGTCCAATAAGTACATGTTCTTCATTTTCAAGAGATATTTCTGTGGAGATTAGATATAAAATAATTCACTTGCATAAAGGAGGAGGAAGGTAAAGTCAAAAAACAGGATTTTTTTCCAAAACTGAAATGATTAAAAGCTACAGAGCAAATGTGCTTCCTAACAACCACCTGGAAGACCTGTTAGACACCAAAAACTGTCCCCATCAGACAAACAACACTTAAAGCTTTCATCTTTGAGAGAGAGGAGAAAATCAAGCTGCTTCAGATCTGAAAACATCCACAGGTGTTTCTGTCCATCCTTCCACTGTGAGAAGACAACTCAGCGCTATGGGTCTGAAAGGATGTGTTGCTGTCAAGAAGCCTCACTGAGAAAAGGAGACAGACACATCAAACAAAGAAGCTGAACAATGGACTGACCACCCCAGAGTCCAGACCTCAACATCACTGAATGTGTTTGATTACTTCAGAAAAAGAGTACCCAACTTCTAAGACTGAACTTTGGAGGCGTGTCTGCAGATTTCTGTGAGAAACTGAAAGTGAGTCTCCAGAGAAGAATGGAAGCTGTAATAAAAGTAAAGAGTGACTCACTGAACACTCAAACAGCTGATAGCAGATTTAGTTGTTGAGGCTTCTGTGTAATTTTCTGCTTTTTTCCTGAATACCTTGTATTTAAGTGTAATTTTGAGTGGAAATTACATAAGTAAAGGGTGGTCTCTGACTTTCGCACAGTGCTGTATGTGTATTACTACCCCGTTCAACCCCCCACCCCCACTCAGAGCTCAGTCTTCCCGCTGTCCTCGTGCTCAGAGCTCAGTCTTCCCGCTGTCCTTGTGCTCTAAACAGTCCTCCTTATCTCATATCACACTCTGCTCCTTCCTGTACGCTCAAGCCTCATGCACACACTGAGGCCGGAGGCTGACGTTGTCCGGCGGTCTCACAGTGACAACTGCATTCACCATTAAGACCTGCTCAGACCATCGGACTAATGGATTTGCCCAATCAGTTTAACGTTCCATCGATTAAATCACTAATGCAGTCCAGCTCTGTCCAACAGCCACTCACACACAGCCGTACCAGAGACAGGCAGGGGCGGACGATACGGCAAAAACACAGCATCACGATACTTTAAGACATTTCCACAGTACTTGATATGGGTTACATTTTGATAAATCACTCTCAAAATAATTTCTGTTCAGAATATAATACACTGCACTAAATCTAATTAAACAGGACTAATTATCATCTCCCTGTGATCAAACATGCAGCTGGACACTGATGATATCAATACACCCAGAACAGTGTACTGTGACATAATTTACATATAAATTGCATATAATCGTATGACTAAATACAAAAAACAGGGTTAAAAGCACTAAACACATCAACTACTTCTGGCTTATTAGTCAGTTATTTATCTAAAGACATTATTTAAAGGGTGCTACTAATTATTCAATACTGACTATTAATTATTTAATAATTACTACAAATTATACAGTAACTACTATAATTTATTCAATGTCTACTTTGAATTATTCAGTATTCACAATGAATTATTTAATATCTACTATGAATTATTCAGCATCTACTATGAATTATTCAGTATTTACTATGCATTATTCAGCATCTACTATGAATTATTCAGCATCTACTATGAATTATTCAGTATCTACTATGAATTATTCAGCATCTATAGAATATCATACTATTATGAATTATTCAGCATCTACTATGTGAATTATTCAGCATCTACTATGAATTATTCAGTATCTACTATGGAACTGTATTCATTTAAATCGCTGCCGTTTTTCGTTTTTGATAGAATTTGAAAACGCCTGTTTCCCTTTACATTGCGTGTAAATTTCATGATGAATGGACCAAAAGAAACAGCACAAAATTACTTGGAAAGATGTCTGGTTCCACTGACTTACATTAAAAGTAAAGTTAATTTCTCCTTCTCCTCCTGTAAAGTTACCATTTTGGAGATTTTTGGAGGTTTTGTTCCAACAGCAGCGGAATGCACCTGATTAATAGCCACATCTGATAAAGGCTAGCAGGCTTAGCCTATGTGGCCGACCGAGAGCGCAAACACAAACAGGACAAGACATAAGTAACAACGTCTGCAAGAATAACGAAGACTCCATCAGCACCAACACATTCCTCAACATTTCCTGCTGCTTATGGCAGGAAAGCACAGCTGCGCAGCTCTGCACACCAAACAGCCCGTTTAGACCTGAGAGCTTTAACAGCACAGCCCAGTTATTATGATATCAGCAATCATGGTGGCCTGTACGCTGCATCCCACTTAAAAAAGATGGTTCTTTAGAGTTCTTTAGTAAAGGCAGTGGTTCTGTTTAGAACTACAAGTTCTATGTAGAACCATTTGCATGCTTACATGGCTCTGGTTGATGGTGAAATGGTTCTTTAAATAGATATGGGTTGAGAACAGGTTGTATATGATTCAAAATGGTTCAACGTCAAGTAACAGCAGAACCCTTTTGGGGGCTGTACAGAACCATACACAACACGTTTTCCATCCATGTGAAGAACCAAAGAACCATTCAAGCATTCAAATGGTTCTATACAGAACTTGTGATGCTAAATAGAACCACTGCTTTTGAAGGACCAGCTTTTTTAAGGGTGTACAGAAAATAAATAAACACTGAAAACAACCAAAAACAACAAACGCAAGTGAGCTAGATTAAGATTCAAGGGTTCCTTAGTAAAGGCAGTGGTTCTGTTTAGAACCATGAGTTCTATATAGAACCATTTGCATGCTCAAATGGCTCTTTGGTTCATGGTAAAATGTTTCCTCAGATTGATATGGGTTGAGAACAGATTGTATAGGGAACCAAAAGGGTTCTCCTACTGTTCTAATGTCAGGTAACAAGAGCAGAACCTTTTGGTGCTATATAGAATCATATACAACACATTCTCCATCAATCTGAAGAACCATTTCACCAAGAAACATTTAAGCATGCAAATGGTTCTATACAGAACTCGTGGTACTAAACAGAACCATTGGTTTTGAAGAACCATCTATTTAATGGTGCACAAAATAAGCACTAAACACAATCATAAATATAAAACACAAATAAATAAACGCACACAGGCTAGATTAAGATTCAAGGGTTCTTTAGTAAAGGCAGTGGTTCTGTTTAAAACCACGAGTTCTATATAGAACCATTTGCATGCTTAAATGACTTAAATGATGCATGGTTCATGGTGAAATGGTTCTTCAGACTGATGGAGGATTGTTGTATATGGTTCTAGAGTGAACCTTTTTGACAATGGATAGATACAGCACCAACAAGGGTTCTGCTACTGTCACAATGTCAAGTAAGAACAGCAGAACCCTTTTGGGTGCTGTATGGAACCATACACAACATGTTCTCAATTCCTCTGAAGGCAAAAAGAACCATTCAAACATTAAAATGGTTCTAAACAGAACTTGTGGTTCTAAATAGAACCACTGCTGTTGAAGAACCATCTTTTATAAGGGTGTACAGAAAATAAACACTGAACACAACCATAAACAACAAACACAAATAAACAAATGCAAGTGAGCTAGATTAAGATTCAAGGGTTCTTTAGTAAAGGCAGTGGTTTACAACCACGAACCATGAGTTCTATATAGAACAATCTGCATGCTCAAATGGCTCTTTGGTTCATGGTAAAATGGTTCCTCCGATTGATATGGGTTGAGAATACGTTGTATATGGTTCTAGAGGGAACCAAAAGGGTTCTTCTACTGTTCCAATGTCAAGTGACGACAGCAGAACCCTTTTTGGTGCTGTATAGATCCACAAACAACACGTTCTCCATCCATCTAAAGAACCATTTAAGCACGCAAATGGTTCTATACCGAACTCGTGGCTCTAAATAGAACCATCGCTTTTGAAGAACCATCTTTTAAGGGTGTGCAGAATATAAATGTACCTTCAAACAACACTGAACGGAACCATAAATAAAAAAAAACACTAACAAACAAACAAATAAACGCACGCGCGCGAGCTAGATGAAGGTTCTACATGTTAATCTGGGCATCATGCTCGCGCTGAAGGTTAATGGCCTGTAGAGCTCGCGCCTCCACACTGTTCTCCCATCAAATAAACACCTGCAGAGCAGCACTGAGCTCAGCACGAGCTCTCAATGTACAGTACATCTAAAATACGAAGCCCAAATGAGAATGTATGCATGATTTGGGCGCGTGATGAGCATCAACACTGACGCTCGCGCGCGGACCGCATCAAACGCAGATGCCTCGGTAGGTCACTGTGATGAGCAGCTCAAACAGAGCAGAAAGGCCCGAATATCAGACAGAATCTCACCTCCACAGATCTGGGTCTCCTTTTTCCTTCACAGCGCAGGATTTAAAGCTCCACTGCGGGACGGCGCACCGCTGCTGCTGCTGCTGCTGGATGGAGGAAGCGTCGAGTGATTAACCCATGGCGCGAGGCGTTAAAGGGGAACTCCACCGATTTTCAGAACCTCTGCACAAATTAATGGCTGAGATGTAAACATAGTCATTCACTCTGGTTTGATATCATGTGGTTAATTTTGTGAGAAACTTACGGACTACTGTTTTCTTTACAGTGGTGGTGATAGGAACCAGGGGTCACCATGACTACAACACAAATATAGACATTTTATTTATTATCCAAAACCACCAGTGAACCTACACGTCTTCTGAGTTTATATGGAATGTTGATGATGGGAAAATAGTGAAAAATTTGAACATTTTTCTTTGGGGACTATTTTGCCTCACAATGTTCTGCATATTATGTATCCCTCCACCACGATTGGATTTTAAGGCCAAAATCTTTTCAAAACTATCGTAAAACAATGACATCAGGCAGTGTATTCATAACCGTTTCATGTTGTAACTTTCTGTGAGGGAGATTTTTGGACGTCTGGTTCCTATCACCACCACTGTGAACAATTCTGACTTTCACACCAAACCACTCTGAATGACATTGTTTACAATTAAAGCATTTACTTCTACAGAATTTTGAAATTTGGTGGAATTCCCCTTTAAAGGACAACTCCACTGTTATTTAATATATATATATATATATATATATATATATATAAACATGCGTTTTAACACGTATGTTTTAATGCGTTTGGTTGAAAAATGCCTGCTTCTATATCAGGATATACTTAATAAATGACCTCTTTTTTTTCCTCGGTGCATAAAGTAAAACTAGAATATTAACATAAAGACATTTTAATATATCGCTAAAGCAGTGATGCAATATTCTCTCAACAGATGTTTTTTTTTCATTTCCACCTTATAAAAACACAAGTATGAAGAAGAAGAAGAAGAAGAAGAAGAAGAAGAAGAAGAAGAAGAGATCCACTTTCAGCCACAAGAGGGCAGCAGAAACCCATTTGACACCAGGCGCTGTCCCAATCGGCGCACGCTGTAGGACACCTTGAATCCTGTTCCCGAGTCTTGATTTTTGGATTTTTCTAGTACCAGAAACCGGATTCGAGATCGATATCTGAAGAACTCTTATGAAGGGTGTCCCATTTCTCATTTCTGCATTCAAACTGGGGGCTCACGGGCGCCATCTATACGCCATTAGGCCAGGATCGCACTGATGTGGGCTGTGTCACATTTGCAAGGCGGCAGCCTTCGAACGTCGCCTTTCTCGGCTGCAGACGTCACAACCACTGTCCCAGTTCAAGGGTACTTGTAGAAAGCTCAAGTGAAGTTTATTAGATGGGCCTTCGGAGGAATGAGCTCTCAAATGAGCTGGTTATAAGTAGTTTGTCATGTGGAAATCTAATATATGGCAATGCTGGATTTCAAATATATGGCATATATTAGCATATATGGATTTACCTCATATCCAACTTATATGAGTCACATTCCAACATATATGTGAGATATATGTTATGTGATATACAAACATATACTGTATAAAACATTTATTCCTATATAGATGGCCTATATTACTCATATGCTAGCTGCATGTTATATGTTGCTGGTGTATTTCATTAAAATTTTTTGCTTTAAAAAAAGTAAAAAAGTATTTCGGTGTTTGTATTACACATGATCCATGTCTGATGTATATATGCATGATCCTTGTATGTATATCAGACATACAGTATATATGTGATCTATTATACATATGTTTTCACCCACCTATCAGACATAAATATGGTCCTTTCATTATGCAGAAATGTCCCATATTTGATACTTGTACATGTGCACATAGCACATAAGCACATATTTGTGCTTTATGATATGTGTGCATAACCATATATCAGATTAGATGTGCAGCTAAAGTCTCCACAGCTAACAACAAAAATAAAGGCAGTTCTACAGCAAAGTTGACAGTCAGACAAGACAGTTATTTACACGTTTTTTGAAAACGTTCAAATGTTTTTTTTTTCACGTTCAAAGTTCTCACTGAGGCTAAACCAGCCATGAGCAAATGCATGCTAACTAAATACTATGAAGCTAAGGCACTGTGAAAATGGAGCAGAGCCAGTTTGGAGGGCCTGTAGGAGAATTTGTTTTTAAATGTATGTTGGCCTTTTAAATTTACAGTTTACTTAGTAGCAGTAATGCTAACAAATCAGCACTCAGTAGCAGTAATGCTAACCAATCAGCGCTCAGTGGCAGTAATGCTAACAAATCAGTGCTCAGTAGCTGTAATACTAACCAATCAGCGCTCAGTAGCAGTAATGCTAACAAATCAGCACTCAGTAGCAGTAATGCTAACAAATCAGCACTCAGTAGCAGTAATGCTAACCAATCAGCGCTCAGTAGCAGTATTGCTAACCAATCAGCGCTCAGTAGCAGTAATGCTAACCAATCAGCGCTCAGTAGCAGTAAAGCTAACCAATCAGCGCTCAGTAGCAGTAAAGCTAACAAATCAGCGCTCAGTAGCAGTAATGCTAACCAACCAGCGCTCAGTAGCTGTAATGCTAACAAATCAGTGCTCAGTAGCTGTAAAGCTAACCAATCAGCGCTCAGTAGCAGTAATGCTAACCAATCAGTGCTCAGTAGCTGTAATACTAACCAATCAGCGCTCAGTACCAGTAAAGCTAGCCAATCAGCGCTCAGTAGCGGTAAAGCTAACCAATCAGCGCTCAGTAGCAGTAATGCTAACCAACCAGCGCTCAGTAGCTGTAATGCTAACAAATCAGTGCTCAGTAGCTGTAATGCTAACCAATCAGCACTCAGTAGCAGTAAAGCTAACCAATCAGCGCTCAGTAGCAGTACAGCTAACCAATCAGCGCTCAGTAGCAGTAATGCTAACCAATCAGCGTTCAGTAGCAGTAAAGCTAACCAATCAGCGCTCAGTAGAAGTAATGCTAACCAATCAGTGCTCAGTAGCTGTAATACTAACCAATCAGCGCTCAGTAGCAGTAATGCTAACCAATCAGCGCTCAGTAGCAGTAAAGCTAACCAATCAGCGCTCAGTAGCAGTAATGCTAACCAATCAGTGCTCAGTAGCTGTAATACTAACCAATCAGCGCTCAGTAGCAGTAATGCTAACAAATTAGTGCTCAGTAGCAGTAATGCTAACCAATCAGCGTTCAGTAGCAGTAAAGCTAACCAATCAGCGCTCAATAGTAGTAATGCTAACCAATCAGCGCTCAGTAGCAGTAATGCTAACCAATCAGCGTTCAGTAGCAGTAAAGCTAACCAATCAGCGTTCAGTAGCAGTAAAGCTAACCAATCAGCGCTCAATAGTAGTAATGCTAACCAATCAGCGCTCAGTAGCAGTAATGCTAACCAATCAGCGTTCAGTAGCAGTAAAGCTAACCAATCAGCGCTCAGTAGTAGTAATGCTAACCAACCAGCGCTCAGTAGCAGTAATGCTAACCAATCAGCGCTCAGTAGCAGTAATTTTAGCATCCTAAGGCTAAAAACCTGTTTACTGTAGTAAAAAGTAAACAGAGGTGAGTTTTCAGTGCGTTTTAGTGAAATACATTCTTCTACTTTCACATTCAAAGGAACGTCTTAATCAATTGATAGAAATGATTTTAACTTTTCGTTTTTAGTCGTTTAGCTCCATTTGCCCTCATTCATTGCGGACTCGCTCGCGGGCGCCCTCTGGAGTTCCGCAGTCATGTTTTTGATATAACAGGAGAAACAGGAAGTGGCGATTCTCTGCCATTCCAAACGCATCTGGCCCTTTAAGACGGCGCTTACGAATCACATCCGGGTACAAAGAGGCATCAACATGGACACGGGGGATGTTCTTGCATCTCTGGTATGAAAGTTATTTAATTTTCTCTTATTTAAACGTCTCTGTCAGCGGAACAACAGCAGCACAGCAAAGCAGACAACAGATAACGGTTATTAGTTTGGTAGAGGATCAGTTTCTCTCAGAAAGGAGTCACTGAGCTGAGGCCGGTGTGGAGCATGTGGGGGAGCATGTGGCTCTAAACCTGAACATCAGCCCGCTTTAACGAGATAAACAGCGACAGTTCGCGTCTTCTAACATCATAACTTCATATTTTGAGAAGTTTTTATCACTGTAAGACACGTTTAGATCGCTGTTATGTAGTTAAACCCTTTAATGCATCTTCACCATTATTTTCATGATTCGGTAATGCTAAAATATCTGTACACACACACACACACACACACACACACGTACATACATACATACATACATACATATATGTATATGTATGTATGTATGTGTGTGTGTGTGTGTGTGTGTGTGAGTGAAAGATGATTCTTCAGGGGTTCTTCAGTAAAGACAGTGTAGAGTAAAGAACCATTTCACCATGCAAAGAACCCTTTCATAGTAATAAAGGGGTTCTTTGAGTGTTCATGATCCTATATAGAACCAAGAACAGCAAGAACAAGCGAAAATACACATAAAGGAAAAAGGAAACATAAGAAGGCAAAGTCTTGAGTCATATGAAGATGTTGAGTGTTTTATGCATTGGCAGTTTTTTGGCTTTCTTATTTTTACAGAGCTTTATGGCTTTAATTTATTTGTAGAAAAACATATATATTTTTTTGTTAGTAAACTTACATTTATTCACATGATACATATTTATCATATTTGCTTTTCCATGCTTGTGTTATATTTAAAGTAACCAAACGGAACAGTTTCATATAATAAATACATAACAAAGCCAGAACAGTTTTCTCATCAATAAATTTGGTGACTTTTTTGGTATAATGTCAGTGCCAGAAAAGATGAGGTGCAGTTTCTGGTTGTGCGAAAGTAACAATTTACATTTTATTTAGCCAAAAAAAAAGTTCTGCAGGAGACTTCCCTTAATTTATTAGTAATTATTCAGTTATTGCAGCAATAACCAAACTCTCTCCTGAGGAATTCCGACCACAGAGTAATTCCAGTACAGTGTAACGTGCGGTAAGGAGGCAACTTCTATCTAAAACAGAGCGACTGCCTTATTATTCTTTTTAAAAGATGGAGTGCTTTTCCCACAAGCAGCGTCTAGAGAATCAACCAAAGGAACATTAGTTGGGCAGGAAGCACCTTTAAGTGACATTACGCAGCTGCCATGACAACAGAAAATTATTTACGATGTTTCGCTGTTCACAGGTCTTTCTAAATGACCACCATTTAGACATTTCTAGAGCAGTAATAACATCCTAAAGACCAGTTCTGACACAGACTGGTAGCCAGAATAAGGATTTAAGAATGGGGGTGGTGGTTCTAGAGAGAACCAGAAACGCTCAGAGGTACTTCATTTTTGTATTCTGAATATATATTCCCAATACTTGTATTACGTTACATTTCATACGTTTCTATTTGACAGTCCTCACTTTTGGGTTAAATTATCTGGCTGTAGACTAAGAAGTACTACTACAATAGTAAGACTGATATTTTAACACCGTTGAAGCATGAAAGGGTTTGTCACACAAAAGCAGCCACAATTTTTGGCTCAGAAAAAGTTACCCTAGCTAGAAGCCAATTGATGGCATTGTGTTAATCTGTTTCATTGTGACTTATGGTTACTGTTTGATATTAATCTGATTGTTACTGAATACTGTGATTTTCAGGGTGTGGAAGGCGCCACAGCCGCAGCACATGCGCTCTCCCTCCCAGCAGAGGCCTACGGCAACGATGTGAGTGTTAGATGGGTTTATTTATAGCTTCTTATTTTAGCTTCATTGTTGCATAATGAGTCTAGACTTTTTCCTCTTAGACTGTTTATGATTTGTATTCATGTTTCTGTTTATTCAGGCTCAGCTGGAGGTGATGTGGGCTATGAAGGCCTACAACCATGCAGAGGTTTACTTCAATGTAAGGGGATTAGATACTTCCAGGTTTGCTTGGAAAAGCATGGTTACTCACTGTTCGCTGTTAGAAACCACTTCCTTGTGCTTCTGCTCCCTGGCTACTGTGTTGGAAACAGCAGCCTTGCACTTCAGTGGCCACTTTATCGGAAACCCTTGCCTTGAGTTTCTGCTATATGACCACTTTAGCAAACTCTTGCCTTGCACTTCTGCTTGATGGCCACTTTATCAGAAACCTGTGCCTTGCGTTTCTGCTATATGGCCACTTTATCAAAACCCCTGCCTTAAACTTCCAGTATGTGGCCACATTATTGGAAACCCCTCCTGTGCTAGTGTACAGTTAGGCTGTTATCCATCTGTGGCTGCAGTGTTTATCAGCCCTCTACCCCATTCAGCATTTGTCAGTCTCTGTGGTCAGAAACTGACCAGTAATGAAAAACTAGAGGAAGGCTAACACCAACAGATGAGCTACAGTCCCTAACTGTACATCTAGTAAGGGAAGTGTTTCTGATCGAGTGGCCAGGGAGTGTGTTTGTGTGTGTTTGTGTGTGTGTGTGTGTTTTATATATATTTCCTCCTTTTTCAGCTCATCTCCTCTGTGGACCCCAAATTTCTTAAACTAACAAAATCCGATGACATGATCTACACTAAATTCAGGGAAGACTTTCCTGACTTTGATATTAAGATTCTGGATCCAGAACTTCTCAAGTCACCTGAAGCTAAAGAGGTTTGTTTAAACTTTTTTTTTTTTTTTTTAACTTTTGTTTTGTGTCAGGTGTAACATTTGGATCAATACTGCTATCAAATAGACAGATAGATGGGCGTTATGTATCTCTTGCAGAAATGGAGACCCTTTTGCAATCATTTCGAACACCTTGTGGAAGACTTTAACTACGGCACATTATTACGTTTGGACTGTGAGAAGGACTACACAGAGGAGAACACGATATTTGGTATGATGCTGCACAACTTTTACCATTATGGCCATTTATTTGTGGTAATTCATTCAAATTTGATGCATGTTTTTCAATTGAACATTATGTAAAGTGTTAGCCTGGTAGTGAATTTGGGGTAAAAGCACCAAAATAAGGTCTGTACATCTATTTTCAGTCATAAAACATTAGACATACACTATATGGCCAAAAGTATGTGGACATTACACCTATATGAGCTTGTTGGATGTCCCATTCCAAAACAATGGGCATTAATAGGGAGTCCCCCCTTTTGCGGCCATAACACCCTCCACTCTTCTGGGAAGCTTTCCATAAGATTTTGGAGTGAGTCTGTGTTGAAATTTGTGCCCATTCAGTCAAAAGATCATTTATGAGGTCTGACACTGATGTTGGACGAGAGGGTCTGGCTCACAATCAACATTCTAGTTCATCCCAAAGGTGGTCTGTGGGGTTGAGGTCAGGGCTCTGTGCAGGCCACTGGATTTCCTCCACACCAAACTGGTCAAACCATGCCTTTATGGAGCTCGCTTTGTGCACAGGGGCTCAGTCAAGCTGAAACAGGAAAGGGTCTTCCCCAAACTGCTGACACAAAGCTGGAAGCATATAATTGTGTATAATTGTGTGTTCCCCTATCATCCACCAAACCCAGATTCATCAAACAGACTGCCAGACAGTGAGGTGTGATTCCAGTGGTGATGTGCTTGGCATTGCACATGGTGATCTCAGGCTTGTGTGCAGCTGTTTGGCCATGGAAACTAATTTCATGAAGGCAGTTCAGAACTCTGTAGCGAGTGATGCGACAGGTTTTGAATTAACTTCTAGGTATAGAGAGAGTGTTGTGGTACTCAAGTTCAGTCTCATTAAATCCAACACCTCTCAATACAGAAACTGAAGATTGTATGGCTCTGTTCTTGTCTTTTTTGGGCTCAAATAAAATGCTAATGCTCCAAAGTCAGAGATGTGACCAGTCAGAAAGCAGTACAGATGTGGTCACCAACAAAAGAGAATAAAATTAAACACAAAAGGGAATCAGTGACTAAATATGAATGTTTAAAGTGTAGAAAGTAAAAGTGTTATAATTTGAAAATACCCAGAACATGAGTATCAGAATTTTACTGAAGTGCATGTACTTAAAGAAATGTAACTAGTTCACACTTGCAAATGATGGTTCTTCAAGGGTGCTTTAGTAAAGAAAATGGTTCTGTATAGAACCATGAACTCTCAAAGAACCCTCTTAATGATTAAACGGCTCTTTGCATCGTAAAAGCGTTCTTCAGATTGATGGAGAATGTGCTGTTGATGGTTCTATATAGAACCTTTTTGATAGGCTTGTTACAGTAGAAGAAACCTTTAAGGTGTAATATAGAACCCTTTTAAAAAGGTTCTATATGGAACCATCTGTCCATTTTCCATCAATCTGTAGAATCCTTTCATGATGCAAAAAACTCTTTAATTATGTAGTGTTCTTTGTGTTTATGGTTCTATATAGAACCATTTTCATTAAAGAATCCTTGAAGAACTGTTAAGTGTGTACCCACCTGTAGATATTTAATGTTTTGTTTTATGAAATAGAACATTTATATATAATGATTGACCATGAATGCACAATGAAATGCAAATGTCTGTTTTTCTCCTTTTTCTTTTTATATTATGAAAAAAATCTTAATTTTATCTCAGACTCATATCTAGTGGTCTTGACTAGTCTTTTGACTGAGGGTAGGAACTAAATCTGCATATCATGCATTTGTCTCTGCACCAGAGCAAGGAGAGGACATCACTTTGGTTGAAGGGGGGAAAAATGTTTGTTTATATATATATATATATGCCGCAATTTCTGTTTCAGCCACCAGAATCCAGTTTTTCGCCATAGAGATTGCCAGAAACAGAGAAGGCTACAACAGCGTTGTCTACAACACCAGCGTGAAGACGAAACAGCAGAAGAAAGAGCAGTGTTAGCTCTGACAGCATTACATTTCAGTGGCCTTGTTCATGTTGGTGCTTTGGGCCAGTCTGACATCCCCATGATTCAACTGTCCTGTCCAGGCTTCGCCCACAAACGTGTTTTTTTCATAGCTACTGTTGTGAGGTTGGACACGCTTTACAGAACGCTGGTAAAAGTCCCATTCAACCTAATGAGAAACTGTAGAACAGACTCAGTTTATCACAATACCTACATTTAGAGCCATAACAGTGTAGGCGGCAATATGAACTTGGCTTACTAGCAACACTAAAACAGCTGAAGCTGGTAAACCTTTGGCTTAGCCTATCAGTTGTTTATCCCTGAAAACATTGATTACACAACAACAAAAAACTACACCAGATGTATCCGAACACATATTATTTGAAGTGTATATATGACTGTCGGTACTGTGATTTTCTTACTAGGTTGAACGAGATTTCTCCCAGCATTCCCTAAAGCTGGTTCAGCCTCACATCAGTAGCTACAAGAAATGCATTTATGGGCAGAGCCTGGACAGATCAGTTGCTATATAATGAGGAAATCACTCTTTAAAGAAAGAACTTCAGGCATATGTGGACAATAAATTGCATAAAAAAAATGCCTCAGTTTATGTATTTAAGACGTAACAGTTATTCAGTAGTGAAACATATTTTGATTCTGTTTATGCTAAATGTGTTGTTTTTGTAACAAATAATCAATATTCAAACCCCAAACAATGTCTCAGTATTACTATTTTTAAGTTTTATGTCATCCATACTTTAAGTTGCAATTTTAGAACAGTTTAATGGATTTCTTTTGTCTATAAAAGCAGAGGAAATTTCTGCATCCTTCAAAATAAAGGCACTAGAAAGGTTTTTTTGGGAGCAAATTCTATAAAAGAACCACTTGTTTCTCTAAAGAACCTTTAAACAGATGGTTCTTTAGAGAGCCACTTTTGTAATTGAGTGTTACATCTGAAAAATCTTTTTAGAATGTAAAGAAAGTTCACAAAGTAATGGTTCTCTGCTGATTAAAGGTTACATCTAAACTGTGAAAACCACAAATGGGCCAAATTTAAAATGTGAAATATGCACATGAATACAGGTGAGGGGTAAAATTAATAGTTTTGTTGATTTTCTTAGTGAAAATATGTTAACACATCCTCTGAGAATGTACCTCTGCACATTTTAACACACCACTACCATTTATTTATTGAATTTAACACACTGGGGGAAAGAAACAATGTAGCCTGTGCAAAAATGAAGGTACATTGCATAGTTTATTTTGATCAATATGTTAAACTCAGCAAATGAAATTGTGGACTACAATTTTGCAGAAAAATTTCCTTGTAGAGGACGTGTTAACTTTCACTTAGAAAAATCAACATGTAATTTGACCTGCTAAACTTTTGTATGACTGTACATGCAAGACAACTTTAAATCCTTGCACCCCCCTACCCTCTCCCCCACTCAAAATGAGTCCTGTTCATCATCGATGGCATAATTTCAGGGGGGAAAAAAAAGACATTATTACAAACCAATGACGTTTATTTTGCAGTCACAATGCTTACACTATATGTAGCAGACATCCAAACAATTCAACCAGCTACCTTATCACTCAAAGGACTCAACACACAGTCGCCAAACAGACACATTCACATCAGGGAACCAGGAAGAGGAAAGAAAAGGAACTTAAATGAACATCCATGAGTCTTGGACATGGTTAAAGAGATGAGCTAGTTTCTTCACAAACAGTTAGCAGCAACATCTGTTGAGAGTAGCACAAGTTGCTAAAATATTCCTTTCTGATTCTGGTTTTTAAATCTACCATAGTTCTGATGCAATATTTTCTTGTTATTTAAAAGAAAACAAACAAATTGGAATTCATCAGAGGGGGGAAAAAAATAAACTGATTTTAAAGGTGGGGGGAGAATAAGAGGGGGGTAAAGCTAGAGGCAACCGGCAGGGGTGATGGGCTCCTGCTGTGATGACAGAAGTACCAGGTTCTTCGTAAAAAGTACACGGCTACATCCTACAGGCTTCGCTACCAAACAACGCCAGCTCGACGACAAAGCCACGATTTACTGGAAGCCTGTGAAGATTTAAAAAACGTCAGGGCAAACAAAGTTGACGAAAAGCTCTGAGTTGAGCAACTTCACTACAACCATGAGTCAGTTTATCTAAATCACATTCCACGAATAGACACCTTCAGAGGCTAAAGGGTAGAGATCAACGTTTCAGAATGAAATCGTACACTCAGGATGCTGATAAACTCTCCCTGCTGGGATGGACAGTTTTACTTCCAACTGTGGTCCTTTAGGGCTGGAGTTTTGCACAATTTGGCAATTTAGTGGTTACCCTCTCTGACACGGCAATGACCGAACTGCTCAACCTCAGTTGGGCTGGCCTGTGTTAAAGGGATAGTCTTCTGTAATACAAATTTACAGCGTTTCCCCCACAAAACCAAACGTAGTCCATCAGCCAGGACGTTTGATGCTTCTTTGGTTTTAGCACAGGAGCTAGAAGGATAATTAGCTAAGAAATGGAAGCTAATTAGCATAGTGCTAACTGCACGCCTAAACCCTCACATGCTGGCCTCAAACTGTGATGAGTTGTTAAAGGAGAATTTTCAAAATTTCTGCATAATTAAATGGTTAAGATGTGAATAAAGTTTTTCGGAGTGGTTTGGTGTGGAATGCTCTGAGTGAGAATTGTTCACAGTGGTGGCGATAGGAACCAGACGTCCACCTCTAAAAGCTCCCTCACAGAAAGTCATTACATGAAATGGTTATGAATACACTGCCTGACGTCCAAGACATGAATAAATCCAGTCATGGTGGAGGGATACATGCAGGGTGCTGTGAGACAAAATAGTCCCTAAACACAACTTATTTCAGATTTTCCACTATTTTACCGTCATCAACATTCCATATAAAACTCAGAAGACACATGTAGGTTCACTAGTTCACTTTGGGATAGGAAATAAAATGTCTATATTTGTCTTGTAGTCATGGCGACCCCAGGTTCTCATCACCACCACTGTAAAGAAATCTGAACCATTTCACACCAAACCACTCTGAATCACTCTGTTTACATCTCAGTGACTGAATTATGTAATTTTGAACAGCAGGACATGCTGTTCTCTGAAGTATGTTCTAAAGCTAGAACAGCAGTAGCAACAACTCTGATCATCTGGATTTGTGACATCACACAGTGTCAAGCCTGTGATGATTTAGCAGTTGGCACCATGCTAACCTATGTTTATTAGCTACATTAGGCTTGTGGCTCCAGCGTTAAAACTAAAGAGGCAAACTTCAGATACCAAACACGTCTCGTCTGATTGACTTCATTTATGGTGTTATCAGTGAAACGTTCATTATTAGCCCAACTATCGCTTTAGGAGGCCTGTTATTTGGGGCAGCAGTGATGAAGAGCAGGAAGATAACAAACCAGCCTCAGGGAAGGTTGAAGTTTAACTCATGTCCACAGCACAGGGTCATTTTAGGGTCATTACACGCCCCCTTCTGGCCACAAGCAGGCATTACCGTAGGTGAAATAGATGTATTTACAGAATCCTCCCCACTGGGTTCAGTTTTGAGGAAAATGTACAACGTGTATTTCTTGTAAAATCCTCTGACCCTCCACCCTCCATCCTTCAATCACTCCCAAAAACACGCCCGGCCTGAATAATAACAACTCTCCTCACACAGACAACCCACACTTCAGCACAGCTGCACTAACTAGACTCGTAAAAAGATTTTTTTGTTTGTTTTCAATCACACCTTGTTTTTGTTTTTTTGTGTTTTTTTCTTCTTAAACTGTAATTATAAACATTGTTGAAAATGTTATGAAAAAAATGTACACTTCTCTTGTTGTGTGTTTCTATACAAGGCAGGCAGAAGCAGAGCACTACATAATCCAGCTCATCCACCCCCCAACCCAACCCAACCCCCAAACACGCACCATTTTACACACACACACACACACACACACACACACACACACACACACACACGCAACCTTCCACCTCCCTCATCCAGCTGGAAATACAACGCAATCATGCTGGCACCCACCCACATCATACCCTCATTCACACCCTCTCATTCAAAGCCCCCAAAACCCCCGACTCTAAACTCTCTCACAACCCCAAACCCTGCTCTAATCCACACCCATCCTGGACTCCAACACATCCCACACACCCCAGTCCGCACCACTCCCCTGACCCCCCGCTCTCTTTCTCTCTCACTCTCTCTCTGTCTCTCTCTCTCTCAGACGTTCGAGTCCAAGCCGGAAAGACTGCGGCCAGGAGACCCCTAGAAACTGGCTTTAAAATATGTATATATTTATATGTGTATATATATAAAAAGGGAGAAGGAAGAGACGGGGGGAGGGGGTCAGTGTAGGTGTTGGGTGGGGGGATGTGGAGGGTGGTGTTTAGGGGTTTAGGATGTGCAGGCTTGCGTAGCGGTGGTCCCCTGGCGTCCGGGCCGGGGGGGCAGGGGGAGTGGACAGAGGCGGCCCGAGCCACGCCTGGTGCTGTGTGGTGGAATGTCAGCTCATCATGTCGTTGCTGTTTACACCGTACGTGGAATTCTTCATGGAGTCGTTCACTTCTCTCCTAAATACTGAAAGGTTCTGTGTAAACCTGTGGAGGATACAGAGTGTTTAGTTTATTATTTAAGATAAGTTTATTTAAATGTGTATTAAACAGGCCCACATTTTACATTTTTCTTGTATTTTATTCATTTTATTCCATTCATTTGGCAGTGCATGGGGGTTTATGATGAGAGAACAAAGCCATAACCCAGCGGTGCACTACTCCGGTCCTGAAGAGTTGGTTTCGTGCACAGTTTGGTGGTTGCCCAATTCCAGGGGTGTCCAATCTTGTCCACAAAGGACCGGTGTGGCTGCAGGTTTCCACTCAAAACAAGCTGAAGCACACCTGATTCCACTTGTTTAATCAGTTGGTTTCAGTCTTGAAACTGCTGATCAGGTGATCTCCTGCTTTGTTGGAATGAAAACCTGCAGCCACACTGGCCCTTTGTGGGATTGGACATCCCTGCCCTACTCAAACACACCCACTAAACCTGGCCATTAACAGAGGAGTTGAATCAAGTGTATTTGAGCAGCAAGATCACCAAACTACGCTGGCCCTCCAGGACTGGAGTTGTGCACCCCTGCCATAATCAATCTAGCTAAGGCAGTGAAACACAGTCTTCGGAATACACAGTTCATTTTTAGAGTGTATTAATGGACATATCTGAACTTATTGCCTCAGTATTGCCACAGTGATAAATTAAATATGAAATCTAAACAGCCGAGATTTCCAGCTGCTTTACTCATCCCGAACCGCAAACTATACCACTAAATAGTATGTATTTACAACTGATCACGTCTGAAAAATAATAACTGACATATTATGTATCATGAAAATTCCCACGTTTAGTACAGACCACTTTAAGAGATGCTTTAGTTTTGAATTAGAGCTAAGATGGTAATGTAGCTAACAAGCGATGGAAGCTTACACTCCACCAGTTAGCATGGTGCTAATTGCTAAGTGCACTGTATGACTCACTGTTACCTATAAACATGGACTAAAGTACAGACAAAATTAAGACTTTGAGATGCTTGCTGCTGTTTTTAGCTAACTGCTAATGTTCATTGTTAATGGCACGGTATAAGCTTCCATCACTTATTAGCCGCATTAGCCTCGTAGCTCCAGTGCTAATGCTAAAGAAACAAAATTCAGACACTTAACCTATCCCGCTGCTTTAATGGGCTTAAACTGGGACCGAAATGAATAAAACATACCTGTCTCGGTTTTTAGTGAGCAAGTTCCGCTCTATGCCCTCCATTAGATTTTCAAAACATAAGTGCATGGCCTGCTGTTTCTCCGGAGGCTGACTGTTCACAATGCTGTTCCTTAAATCTGCAAAATACTGAGACACACAAACACGCATGGTTGAAAGAGTTAGAGTGTATGTAAAAAAAATGTAATTTAGAGCCATCATCTAATATGGTTGTTTTCATACATAATCAATGAACAGTTTTTGTGAGTCTACATTGCTAATGTTAGCAATTAGCACAATCAACTACTGTTTAAGGCTACTTGAGCTAATCAGGCTAACTAAGTGCGTTTTCAGAGTGCAAAGCACCAGAACCTTAAGCACTAGAAAACAGCCCTGGTCCACAGGGTCCATTTTTAATGCTTATTTTTATACACTCTGCAGCTGAAGCTAACAACAAATCAGCATATCCTTTACTCTTCCAGCTGAATACAAAGCCACCAATCACTGACATATCACCAATAAATACACCAGAATGTAAACTGGAACAGTATGTTGATGAGCTGGTTTATATTTTTTAAAATTGTTCCTTTGTGAAGAATTTTTTGAAGACAACCTAAGCTAATTAGGACGGCTATTAGCATTTATGCTAGCTATTTTCACACAATTGTCCGAAACCTTTTGATTGATTCTGAGTGCACCGTAGGCCATTTGTACCAGCTAAGACAGACAGCTACGTTAAGTAGCCAAATTAGAAGTTTTACATATGAAATGACCAAGACGACAATTAAATTATTAATCACAGTTATTACAACGGTTGCAGCTCTTGCAAGCAGGTATAAAATGAACTAGAACTAGAACCCCAAGTTTCATTGGTTCCCATTTGGGTAATTTTTTGAATTTCCATCTGTAGTTTAAATGTCTTTTCTAGCGAATGCTAAAGTTTCAGCCTAGAGTTTCTTCAGGACATTGTAACAGAGCCGATTAATGAGGAGCCTGGCCTCTTCCTGTTTCCACCATTACATTTCTTTTTTTCTACAGCAAACAGATTTTGGGCAGCAGGACGCTAGCATTACTGCTACTGAGCGCTGACTGGTTAGCATTACTGCTACTGAGTGCTGTATATTGAGTACATTGGCTGTTCGAGCTCACTGACGTTATGAACGTATATGAGGCGCCATTTTAAACTTCAACTCGAGTTCAAAAGCGTGCAAAAATATAACAGCGGTGTTGAAATGTTTTATGCTGTTCTGTGTTTAGAAAATAAATATTATTTTATATTAAAAATGTTGAAGCATTTATAAACTGAGATTTTGCTCAAATGCTCCATCTTAACCCTTTCATTTCGGACTTGTTTAGGAGTGCCCTCCAGCGTTTGAGAAACCCGGAAGACATTACAGAGTGATAATTTTCCTCTCCACAAGTTCTCTGATTGTACGGGAAGAGTGTGTTAGCAAATGCAGTCAGGTAGTGGGCATCAAAAACTGTTTTAATTTAAAATATCAACTGCTTGTCTCTAAAAATGTAACTTAAATGTTCTGCAAATGTTTGTTTAGAACGAGGAAAGGTGAATAATTACCTTCTCATTGAGCAGGATGAGGCCGAGCAGCGGCCGGGACATGGACCACTGATTCCTGCAGTCTTCAAATATGATGATATTGAGCACTGTGGACAGCATCTACAGGAGATATTCACACAGAAAAACTTTGTAATGCAATATGATATAAATGAAAAACAACTCAATTGTACAACACTAATTAAACATAAACCTGTTGGATCATCTCAGGGTGCTGCTGCATTATATGGAAGAAGCGGTCGCTCTCCTGGGCCATGGGGGCTGCTCTTTTCTTAGTGCTGCGGGAGAGCTGTTTGAACAAATAGGTCACTATGTGGTCCAGACTGGAGCAGCAGCCCGTACACACCATCGTATCTACAGGAAAGGAAGAAGATACATTAAAACCTGAGGAAAACTGGATATACTGCCAAAATAACACATAAGAGACTGTCACATAATGGTACTGGGGTCTGAAAGCTTATACCCCTTTATGGCCATGGCTAACACAGCAAAATCAATGCATTGATGCTTATAAGTTGCATTTTATAAGAATTATTTCTGACTCACATCTCACTGAAACAAGCGGAGAAATTGTGTGGGAAGCGCAGATCCTGAACTTTCAGTCCAGACCGCATGAGTCTGATTGAGGCCATTCGGTATACAATTTCTAGTTTCTAGTAAATATTCCGTTAAACAGAAGTATAACAGCCATGTAAACGCCTGCATCTGATTACATTCCTAATTGGAAAGTTTAAGTTATGTTACGTTTAAGTTACGTTTTACGCATATGCATCGCATCATAGTGCAAGTTTATAACGTTGAACATGGTGGTAGCAGAAACTGGTCTGCAGAGGAAGCTTTGAGCTTTAATTGACGGCGGTGGGACGGGCATCCAGCTGATGTGTCTCAGAATATGACATCTTCCTCTCGCCCTTCTTTAATAAATACATGTGAAGTATGTTTTCCTGAGTCTGACATTTTAAAGTAATTACAAACACAAGTGCTGCTCACTGCTGCTCGTCTCACTCTGACTGGACTCATGTGATCCTCATCCTCTACTCCAAGCGGTTATTTTGGATCTGATTACTTGTAGTGTGCATGTAAACTGAGTTTTTCATAAAATTGTTGAGTAGAGAGCACAAACACCTCAGTCTTAATCTATAATGGAATGTATTCATTCAGATTGGCAAAAAACTTTGTATGTAAACATAGCCATTTAAACAGCTACATGATGAGTCCAAAGGAGAGGATTGTAAATGTCCGATCCTCACCGAGTGCTGTGAGCCCCTCAGAAATAGAAGACAGGATGTAGAGGACCACATGGGGCTCCAGGCTGGCAATGAAGTTCATGTGGTCCTGGGTGAGCACCTCCAGCAGAGAGTAATACGACTGGCTGAGCTTCGGATAATCCTGCCAGGAACAAACAACACAGAAATCAGATAAATCAGAAATAACAGATCTAACTTATCTACACACTTAAAAATGATAGTTTAGGGTTCTTTACTAAAGAATATAGTTCTCTATAGAAACATGAACACTCCAAGAGCCCTTTAATCATGCAAAGGGTTCTTTGCATAATGAAAAGGTTCTTCAGACTGATGGAAAATGTGCTGCAGACGGCTCAATGCATAAGTTTTTTAAAAGGGGGTCTATGTAGCGCCCAAAAGCATTCTTCTACTGTTACAAACTTGACATTGCAACAATAAAAGAACCCTTTTTGGTGCTATATAGAACCTCTTTTGAAAAGGTTCTACATAAAACCGTCTACAGCACATTCTTATGTACCCTTTCATGATGCAAAGAACCCTTAATTCATGCATCGTGTTAATTGATAAGTGTTCATTTTTCTTTCCTAAAGACCCCCTGAAGCACCATCTTTTTAAAGAGCGTAGCTAGTAGAACATGTGCTGTAAAATCTCTTCATTGTCCAGTAAAAATCAATATTATTGCTGTTTTATATGGAATGTTGATGATGGTAAAATAGTTTATAAAATATGCTTTAAGCCAAAAGCTTAGGGCAAAACCTTCATAAGAACAGTGTCTCAGGCATCAGGCAGTGTATTCATAACCATTTCATGTAAAAACTTTCTGTGAGGGAGCTTTTAGAGGTGGACATCCGGTTCCACCACCACCGCTGTAAACAATTCTGACCCGGTAAGTTTCTCTAGAACGAAGCATTTCACACCAAACCACTCTGAACGACATATTATTAACCTCTTCATTATGCAGGACAAAAACGTGGGGTTTCCCTCCAAGTATTGTGCAATTTATAGAACTGCAGCGATATCTTTTAGTACATGAACCTTCTTTCAGAGATACTGAAGTTTGTTAGGACTTCTTTTGAAAGCAGTTCAGAGGAAAATTCACTCACTAGAAACTGATTTTAGAAAAAAAAATTAACGCAAATGTAGCATAACATTTAGTGTCATTTATGTGCCTCTCACAACAAGCTCAACACAACAGCGTGGTGGAGAACTGGAGCTGGACTAAGGAGGAGACAAAAGCGTTTTTAAAAGGAACGCTGCCACTTTTCAGCTCTTACAAAGAAAGACAAGCAGAAACACTACTGACTTTCTAAATGGAAAGAGCTCAAACAGCTCTATATGGCAGAGAAACAGAATCTTGTGTAATGGTTCAGATGAAAAAATAATAAATAAATAAATCAGTCAGTCTTCTCCTTTTAGAACATTTTGGTCTAAAATAAAACACTAAAGCTCCAAAGTGAGAGTTGATGCGACTCATTGATCAGCAGTAAAGCAGAACAGAAGCTGAACCTGCACGGCAGAATGAAATAAAACCCGAAAAAGACAATTAGGAACTAAACTTTTTTTTATCTCCTCAGTCCCACATTTTGATGAATGCATTCATCAAAAATTTACTTAAGTACACGTAACTATTGTGTATTTTTTTTTTACACTTTGTGTATTTTTGCCTTTTTCCAAAAAACAAAAAAACAAAAAACAAAACACAGTAGCTTATATTAAGGAAACAGCCGAAGTCTGACCCCAGGTCAGCAGCTACCAGCACATACTTAGAAAATAGTTGAATAATGTATAATAAATATAACAGATTATAATAATGTTCAACAAAATATGTGAATATTTGTTGCTCAAAATAAAGTTCTCAGCCAATTTCAAAAGATAAAAATAAAAATAAAGTTAAAAATTTTACTATGTCCCTCTACTGTGTACACAGTTCCTCCAGTCACATGTGTGCTTTTAGTTTTAAAAATAATTCTAAATTGTACTAAAGGAATCAAATGAGAAAGTGGTGAAATCTGAGATTTTTATTGTGTGTTGTATCAAATCAAGTCAGCATTTCCTCACCAGCAGGTCGCTGTGCGGGATGGACAGGAGCAGCTTAATGAACGTCTGTAGGGCGTTGTCCAACGCATCGTCGCCGTAGAGACGGAAGACGCCGAAGTTGACGTAGTTCCCGCTGAGGACGGCCTTGAGCATGGAGAAGCAGATGGAAATGCCCTTCAGCTTCAGCGCGTACACCTGATCCTTCGGCACCTCGCCCAGAGTCAGGATACGGTTCCCTGAACACAAGGAGAGCAACGGCAACAAAACATCAGCCTCAAGCTCCTTTTCTACAGAAATCTGGAGAGGCCATGAGCTATGGCTATCATTTTCTGGATTATTATCTTGAGATCACAACTGAAGAATATGTCCCTAATAAACTGCCTTCACACTCAGTGTAGTGTCTTACTACTGTATAGTGCTTTACACCACTACAAAACACATCCAGTCTTACCGTATGTTGTTATCATCTTGCTCGTCTCTCTGAAGAGTAGGATCCCGTTTGGCGATGACACATCAAACTGTAATCTCTGCGACCTGAAAGGAAAACATAAGCTCAAAAGAGTTATTACTGACCATAAACACAAACAGAGGACTGTCACACTTACATGGATCATCAGTCATGTTTAAACAATGTACAACATGATGTGTTGTTTATGTTAAGTATTGTCCCATCTTGTATCTTAAATATTAATAACATTAGGGTGATTAATAACAGCTAAGAATGTTCCTAATGACTCTTAAGTACTTTATTTTCAATACTTTTCTACTATCGCATATATCTTTATTGTTATATTAAATATTAAAAAAGGTGTTGCACCTGAATGGAACTGTTTTTATTCTTACTGTTGCTTTTATTATGGTTGTTATTATAATTACTTCATTATTATTATGATTGTGCACTATTGCATTAATTCCATTTTTAATATTGCCTTTAAAAAGCCATTAAAATACTGAATGAATACTGAATTTTGTGTTGACAAAAAAATACAACAACTGGATATTTGAATAAACAAGACACCTTTCATTTTGCCAGGCCAAATTACAGACCTCAAAGGGGTGAATCTGGTTTCTGTTACTGATAAACATACAGCATATTACAACTCCTACCTCACATGGATGAACATAAGAACTGCATTCTGAAATTGCTCTTACCTGTTGTGGACCAGCTCAGCCATCAGTTTGAGCACAGGTGTGGTGCAGGCAGGTACGTGATACCACAACTCTATCGCCCTCTGCAGGATGGGGATGTAGGAGGGGTAGCTATTCCAGGAGAGTGGTGTTAAGGGCTTCAACCTAAAGAACCTAAAAACCTAAAACATTGTCAATGATGTTTATTATAGAAAAAAAAGTCCTCTAGAATGTTCATATGATCCACACAGTCATTCTGAAATCACGCATGACAGCCTTAAAGGATACATCCAGTCAAAGAGCATCATAAAGCTGGTCTTGGCATTGAAGGCGAAGGCAATTCCCCTCAGATCTCTCACCAAACCCACCAACGTTCTCTGCAAGAAGGAAAGAAAGACTCCACTTATAAAACACTTCTTGACCTGTGATCAGGAACACTAAGATGCTTCATTAGATAGAAGGTCTGCACAATTACTGCAATACTGGCCTTTACAGTACTGGTAAGAATCATCCATCACTTTAAATCTAGCTGCAGTTCTACACCAGCATGTTTATGTCATGACTGCTTGTGCTCACTGACATAAGGTGTTAGTTTAACACTTAGTAACTAGCTATTAAAGCAAAAAGCCACGAGAGGCTGTGCATTACTGCAATTTTATCATGGGAAAGGGTGTTCTTAGGCACAACGTGAAGCGGAGTAAAAAAAAACCCTTCCCCATGATAAAACGACTGTAATGCACAGCCTTTATTTTTTTAACAATTGTGCAAGTTATTATTAAAAATAACCAACATAAACAAGTTTTTCTTTAAGAAATCTAGTTCCTTAGGGAGACAGTGTTGTGCTAGCATTACACATGGCTAAATGGCTAATATAATTTAGCAGTCTGGTCAACCTCTACTTAATACAGAATAACTCAGATGGGTTAAACCAAGTTAATTTCAGGCTCTACACCTTAATATTGGAATGTAATTTTTTTCCATTAGTAAGTAATGATCAAGTTAGCTACAATACTAATAAAACATGTAAAACACAAGTAACCTTAACCCAATCACTGCAGAAGACTGTACGTAATTGAGCCCTCTAAGCAATCGTAGCGGTTTTACTCTGCTGTGAGAATCCTGACCAATTACGATCCAGATATGTTTTTAAATGAATCGAGTAATCATGAACTTTAACATAAGCGAATAATGTTTATGGATGTTATATACACACATGACATTTATGAGTTTGAAAATGTGAATGTGTAAACATGTCTCTTGTCTGACTATCTGGTGTACCTGGGCCTCCTGCTCGTTGAAGGTGTTGGTGCTGAACATCTGAGCGACGGCTTCAAAGGCAGCCGTGAGCGGAAGCATGAACTGCTCAAACTGATCCTCGTCCTCACCTACACATACACACAAACACACAGATTTTGTGCTGCACTTGAACTTGGCCTGAGCAGCAGGGTGATTTAATCAGATATAAGAAATGATTGACGAGTAAGCTGATGATCATGCAACAAAGGTGGTAACTGCCCTGTTGGAAAACATAACTGACAGAAAATTAGAGAGAAGTAATTTAATTTAAACAACTTGCCAATTAATATTAAATAATATGTACATGCAACGTATTATTCCCATCAGCTATAACACAACTCATTTTAGAAAAAATATGAAAAATACGTACACGTGGCTTCGGAATGCACTCATTTACTCATGTAAGTTTAACAGTTTAAAGTTTCTCCAGAAAGGGCAACTATTAGCATTCAAGTACCTGTTGTGTGCATCATTTAAAACAAAGGTCTCAAACCCACACCAACAGGAGCTTATGAATGCCAGAGTTTTGCAGCTCACTCAGCATTATACTACATAATATGTAACTTAATTAAACAATTAAATCAGATACTGCATTAAGGCATTTAAGCTAAAGATAGCACAGAGAGTGGGTGTGAGCTAAAGGTATATGTTTGCAGGAGGCTAGGAGGGTTGATATAATAGATAAATTACTTTTTTTAAGAAGGAAATATTTTAAATGGACCATCATGTCAGTTCTTTGCAATTCTACATGCAATTAACTTTTTTTTGTAGTCACTAATTAGGCCGCATTATGTCTGTAACCACTGGTTACATGATGTACATCTTTAAAACAGTAAGATGTTAAGATGATGTTCTGATTCAGACTACAAACACTTGAACACAAAGACTTTGTAATAACAAATCTGTAAATACATTAACATTATTCTTGGATGGAGCCTTACCCAGGTCAACCATTAGCAGCCTGCCGAGGGCCGTGTAGAAAGTGGTTCTACACCTCATGTCGCTGAGGTTGGACTGATTGTTCACACCCAGGAAGGAAAAGTGCTCGCTCTGTCCAAAACAAACAAATAATATGCATTTTCACCAACATATCAATATAAATTATTTATTCATTAATGTTGGCTGTCCGTTAAGTCACATTCAGTTACACACATTTGAAGGATAGTTTAAATATTAAAGATCAGGCGACGTACCGTATGGTTGTTGAGCATGAACTGGACTGCACTGAGCTTCACCAGTTTCCTCACGCTGCTGTAGGTGCATTGAGGTTAAGGAAATACGTAGCTTCTAAAAAATAATGACTAGGAGAGTTTTACGCCTTCATTTGGCAAAACTAGTAGATCTCCAGCTACTGCATTTTGTTATCCTATTCCAGCTGTCATGTGACCCAAACCACATCAGCACCTCAGTACCTGGGTCAGGTGTGCTGGAAGCTTGAACAAAACAAAAAGCAGACAGGTAGAGATCCATCAGCAGATCTAAAGAACCAGCAGCAGAACTCTCTAACAGTTTCAGGGCATGACATCTTGTACTAGCACAGCAGTTGTTGTGCTAACATAACACTTAGAGGCTAGATGCGTATTATGGTCTTTTTCTTCATAATAAGCATAATAGTAGTAGTAGCTGATGTCTCAGTAGCTAGTTAGCTAAATCTCATGTTCCATCTTAAATCTAAGGTACAACTAACAAGTATTGTGCCGCTAATGTCTCCAGTTAGCATTACAACATTTAGCTAGCTAGTAAAGCTAGTATACATGTGTCAAACTCAGTTAATTTCAGGGTCTATACCATCATATTTAAATGATCAACTTGATCATTATTGGAGATCATTCCCCTGGCTTCTCAATCAACTTAGCTACAATAGTAAGGGGTTTAGATATGGGCAACCCAAACAACCAATCGTCAACACTGACTGCTTCAAAATCCGCAGACTCCAGCAGAATCTCAGACTGACTGACTACATTGGCCAAAATCAGGGTAAAACTCATGTATGTAACTCCAGCTTGATCAGTCAGCAGTGCATATAAAGGATATCCAATAGACAGGTCGTTGAGAAGCTGTAGTGTTTTGGAGGTGATGGGTTCACACTGTCCCCAGTACTTCAGGTTGGTGATTCTGAAACAAAAACAACCACCATGAGCACAGTTGACTTAATTACCCAAATCTAACACATAAACAGTACCATTAACGCCGCAATGATAAGTCAACAAGGGGAGGAAGTTGACTATAAATATCAAGTTGATGTTGATATCTGTCTATTGCTACATAAATTTTCTATAATATTCCTTTTACATCTTCATTGTGACATGCTTTATCTGCAGCTGTGTCCTGGGTGAATCCACAGAGGCAGATTTAACTAAGTATCGGTCTAAAGTAGAGCAATAGTTGAGTTAGTTGTAGCTAAATTACAGCGTTCATGCTGCGTTAGGTTTGCATTTGAATGTTTCCCCTTGTAGCTCTCTTTTTTATATGTCGCAAAAGCAAATTTAAGTCAGATTTAAATATTTAGAAAATTAAAGAAAAAAAAGATTTGAGGGCTGGATTTAAAGATATATTGCAAACGTTATGTGCCATATGAATCTGTCTTGCAGGTCTACTGATCATGTTCAGCGTGTTATGTATTGATCGTGTCTTGTGTTGTGTACTAACATTTTCCCGATGAACACACTGAGCACCATCGTCTCATCGTTCAGTCCCAGAACTTCAGAGAGCCGCCGGTACAGCTGAGGAGGAGAAACACAACCAATCACACATTCAGAATACAGAAACTTAGATTAGATTTTAACCAGAAAATAAACTAGGGAACTAGGAGCTGGGGATGGGCATCTTCAAAAATGTTTTGATTTTGATACAAATAGCAGTAACTTCATTTTGATACAGATTCCTGAAAAATACTCCCCTCTAATACCAAAACTGAGTGTGGCTTAAACCAGAAATCAGTGCGAGATGCTGGAGGCGGGTATATTTACTGACCTCAATGGACTACAGACTTGAAGGAAAGGCTGCGAAAAATTAAATTTACTGAATTTTCCCCACTTAACCCATAAGTAGTCGATCAGCCTAGACATGTTTATTTAGATTTACTTTGAAACTGGAACTGGAAGTGAATAGCCACAGAAATGTCTTTCTGAATACATCCCAAGAACTTCTCAAACCGCATCCACCTCTTCGTTAAGTGGTGCAGCCTTGGAGTCCAGACTCCTGAGACCGGTTACGGTTTCTTTTTCCATCTGTTGTACCTCTAAATCAGAACCAGAAAATACCCAAGAAAACTACACAAATGAGTGGCTAACTGCTAACAGGCTAATAGCTACACATCCACTACCCTCCACAAAACACATTTGATTCCGTCTGTCACTCCAACTCCAGTCCCTCTGTGTGCGCTCATCTTCTTTATCCTCTAAACAGGTGTTATTTGAGCATCTGTTACTGAAACAGCCTGTACTGCTGTGGACTTCACCTGTAGCTGGATAACCAAGTTGGCAACATTAGCATTAGCACTGCCCGGCAGGGTAGCTACAGCTCAAAGCACTACAGAACAATTCTATTTTGTGCTTTCAGATACAAGTCTTTATCCTCCAAACAGGTGTTTTTAATAATCAGTTCGCTAGAACCGAGCCTGTGCCGCAGTGTGAGGCACCATGCATTCACGTTAGCTTAGCCTAGCAGGCTACAGCTTAAAGCACTACAGAACAGGTTTGATTTCGGCTTTCTGTCACTCCATCATCAATCAAGTTGACTTTGCGCTCGCTGTTGCAAGTTTCTATCATCTACATTTGTGATAGCAGAGCACGGCTAGTTGCATCGAACCTGCACTGGGGTGTTTGGATCTCTTTAGCTAAGTTAACTAGGAGAAAGGAGCTCGCTAGCATTAGCTTAGCTAAGAGGCTCCAGATCCAGAGAAGAGGTTTTATTTTTGTCTTTAAGCTCGACTTCACTTCCTCAGATTTGAGTCATTATTATCTAAATTTGTGTCAGTAAAGCTTGTTTGTCAGAATCGAACCTGTCCTGTAGTGAGCAGCGCTGGCAGCTTGCTGGCTAAGCTTACGCTACCCAGTTACTCTCTTCTGGTTAGCAGTGCCGTTTAACATTTAGAAATTGGTGTTCGATTGAAGCTTTGACATTTATTGAGGGTTTTAAGCTTTTTGTGTTACATCTGTGTCCGTGTGGAAAAGACACTGGAACGGTTACCCTCCATACTCAGAACTGTTTGGCTCTGCAGCGGAAAAGAGGCCAGTATGACTTTTTGTGAGCTTTAAAAACGAACCAAACTTCAGTGTACCTAAAGTCATACTGTGTGCTAAACTACATCTACAAGTCTTCGCCACCATAATAAGGAGCTGGACATGATTTGGGAGACATTTTGGGGATGCATTTACAGAAAAGATCTGGGTGATTATTGACTTCTAGTGTTTGTTAGCTATATTAGCTTTGTAGCTCCAGCTCTAAACTAAAGAAGCAAAATTTGGACACCAAATATCTCGAGTGACAGACTACATCTGGTGTAAGCGGAAATTTGTGTAAACTAACTTTTTCGTAACCATTCCTTTAAGTTTAAATATACCCACGTCCAGCACCTCATTCTTCTTTCTGGTTTAAGCCACACCCATTTTTTTGTAATTAAAAAGAAGGAGAAGAAAGCATCATTTAGGAGTCTGTAAAAAAATTAAGGTATTGATATTTATTTTAATATGAAAACATTCCTTTAATTAAGCAGCAGAAGACCAGCAGTCTAGATTTTGGCTGGCTCCAAAATCCAAGTGTTTAGTGTTGTAATTTGGTATTAAGTGACAATTTCCTCATATTCAGTGGTACTATGGTAACTCGCTTGGTATTTTAAAGTTACTGGATTGCAACAGTGACCGAGCTGGACATTGAGAACAGCTGCACTATGTTTACACAATGCTGAAAATGCTTGTCATCATTAGTGTCTACATGTTGTTAAAATTTTTTTAAAGCAAAAAAGTTGATTTCTTGAAACTTATTTGCACTGAACACAGTTCTGTTACAGTGAGTACAAATGGGAATGTTTAGGGCCAGTTTTGTGGACATGGATTAAGCCTAGTCTCAGAGTACTGCGATACCAATGGTCACCCCTAAAAAGTTTATTCACACTTGATTTAGACTTAATCTGGGTCTGGAAAACCAGCCCTTAATGTTTGGCCTGAAGGACGACAGGCTAAAGCCAAACAGGGTCTCTACCATTACTGTACACTCTCGGCTACAGGACACCACTTATCTGTTCACATTTTGGAGTCTCTGAGTGACAAAAAAAGAAACGGAGAGATAAAAAGGGTCTTAACATTGTTTGTCTTGAGGAGACGTTATTCTTTAACGCTTCCAATTCAAGATCAACAGCGCCACTAAACAAGGCCGAACTTCATTAGCGACAGCAGACACAGACAGCTGGTTATTCAGAGAGTTCAACAATAAACAGTCGTTCAATTAATCTAATCTTACTGTTGATTCACTATCTAATATTTTAAGGAAATAAAAAAAAAGAAAAAAAAATGATATTTGACTAAAATGCTCATGTGTAGTAAACACACATACAGTAAAAAAGTGAGAGGTGCTCTTACCTTTGAGGATTTCTGCACCTGGTCTCCGATGTAGATTTTGCGGAACTGTTCGAAGAAGCTGAGCATGGCCAGCTCCAGTTTCTCGTTACCAGCCTGAGCCAGCCGAGAGTCCGTCAGATTCATCAACTGCAAAACTCTGCAGATCACAGCAAGGCCAAAGAGTTTAAATAAAGCTGCAACTAAAGACTTCAGAGTGTCACTAATTACAGTAATACAGTGCGTCGCTAATTATAATAACACAGAGTGTCACTAATTATAATGATCAATTTAACAGCAATGATGATGGCCGTTAATGGACCAATATCCAATATTTTGAGTTCCACTCATGACATTTGTGTGGTTATATGAAACAAAAACCCGTCATGATTCATTTCCACATGACTATTTCCAACCTCTCTTCATCCCTTGTCTGTGATATGAGCCTTTTAACATAAACACCGCAATCAGACTCTGATTTGATGGTTTGTGAGACCCTTAAATGACAATCAGAATCGACTCCTCACCGACAGACGAGTTCTCCGTCCATGGCGTCCTGTTCGTCTGTGCTGGCGAAGGAAACTCTGCCCCCAATAACTGCACCGATGATGTACACTAGCCACGTCAACCGACCTGCAGAGAGAAAACAGGCTCTTAATAATAGAAATAATAATAATAATAAAGTTCAAGAGACCCTTATTAGTCCCACAACGGGGAAATTTCACCTCCGCATTTAACCCATCCGTGCAGTGAAACACCACATACACATTAGTGAGCACAAACACACACACTAGGGGGCAGTGAGCACACTTGCCCGGAGCGGTGAGCAGCCCTAGCCGCAGCGCCCGGGGAGCAATTGGGGGTTAGGTGCCTTGCTCAAGGGCACTTCAGCCACGTACTGTCGGCTTAGTACACAAGGCTGATTCCCTCACCTCCAGCCTATGGCTGCCCCTCATATGGCACCACATAACTATATATCTATATGTATCTCTCTCTCTCTCTCACGTACACACACACACACACACACACACACACATATATATGTATATATAAATTAAATACTACATACATTTTTTACATCTACAATACTGTGCAAAAGTCACAAGCACCTAAGTTTAAAACCATTTATCTTGGAAACAGGTGTGTTTTTACTTGTAAAATCACCAGATATTATTAGAATTAATATAAATGAACAAAAATAGAGTAAAAAGTAATACAAATTCTATTTGCTAAAAAAGTAGTGAGTTAGTTTGAAGAACAACTTCTGATTCCAGATTTCTCCTGGACACCTCCAGCCATCACATCAAAGCACACCTGCTTTAACATAATGAAGCACTGATTAGATTTAGCAGGTACTAGATGATAACTACAAATAAAACTGGACTTCCTCAAGGAAAAGTTTGTATTTATTTTTCGTATTTATTTTAATATTAGTGTTTTTCTCAGCAAATAAACACTTATTGCACAAATAAACAGCTTTTTACATCAAATTTTTTTCAGGTGCCTTAAATCTTTGCACAGCACTATACATCAGTAATTTTTACCAGTGATGAACACAGATATGAGTGTAGACATGTATGTATGTATGTATGTATGTATGTATGTATGTATGTATGTATGTATGTGGCCTTGTGGGACAGACCCTCCTGCACGGCAATGTCCATGCTGCTGGAGTTGGTGGACTGCAGCAGCTCCTGGTAGGACTGAGCTGACTGGTCAAAGAGCTGCACCAGGAGAGCACAGGTCTTCTCGTACTCGCAGCGGCCGATGGTGGAGAGCTGGTCCAGCTGCTGCTGCACCAAACCAGCATCATCCAAAGGGTCTTCCAGACCATCCCTGAGCAGAGGAGACAAAGATGACACGGACACAATCAGTGCTTTCTAAAACATCTGTCTTGTTCTTAAAATCCCAATAACAATTATTACTTTTAAGGCATTTGGCAGATGCTCTTATCCAGAGCGACTTACAATTTGATCATTTTACACAGGTAGGCGAAGACAGTGTTAGGAGTCTTGCCCAAGGACTCTTATTGGTATAGTGTAGCGTGCTTACCCATGCAGGGATTGAACCCCAGTGTACAGCATAGAAGGCAGAGGTGTTAGCCGCTACACTATACCAATCCAATTATTCCAAGTGATCAGACGACGTTTTAAATTTTGCAATTAAATATTTAAATATTGCAGTGGATTTCAGTGTAACTGTGTCTATTTATTATGTCACAGTGTTCGTCTACTGCTGCAGCAGAATTAAATATGACTTATCTTTTATCTTCCCTGTCCATTTACCTACCCATCTATCGGCCCACCCACCTTTCCATTTATCTGCCCATCTATTAGCCCACCCACCTGTCCATTTCCCTGCACATCTGCCTATTTACCTGCCCATGCACCTGTCCATTTCCCTGCACAGCACCTGAGTGTTTGACTGCCTCTGGTTTAGGATATATGTAAAACTTGCTAAGATAACATTACCGGTAATGTAGGCTAAATTGAAATTCCAGCTCTTGTGACTTAAAAATTGCACTCATTCAAATTGTGATTATGATCACTCAGTCCTACTGTGAAATTAGCGAGTCGGCTCTGAGGATGCATCTCTGTGTGTGTACCTGAGGATGATATGGACTGACTCCAGGCGTGATGTGATGTAGGCTTTGGTCACCTCGGGGGTGAAGGTCTCTAGCATGTGCGGCTCGGTCGCTTTAACGTACGGCACGGAGGCGGCCAGCCGCTGCCACAGACTCAGCAGGTAATGCACACTGTTAGGGGCGAACTCCCAGTGCTGCCAAACAAACAAGAAAACAAACACCAAACATCAGTAGACTGCTAAATACAGCCGCAATTATTTCTATAATCCATAAAACTGTGAATTTTTGACTTTTCAGTTAATCAAATGTCTATCACTGTGTGGATCATATGAACATTATAGAGCAATTTAACTGTAACAGCAGAAGCCATATCACCCCTACACTTCCTGTAGTGTATTACAGTCTGTCAGAATGAGCATAACCACTGTACATCATCACAATATGTTTATTCATCAATGCCTTATAATTTAATATTAAAACGCTGGTTCCTTACCTGTAAGCTGGTGACGGTGAAGTTGGCGATGAGCCGGATAACCTCCGGATAATTCTCCACCTTCACCAACTCCCCGAGCTGATAGTTACTCTTTAGTCTGGCCAGCAGGCGGCAGAACTCATGGTAGTTGTTCGGATCTGATAAACTCTACAAAACACAAATTTATTTCGATATTATATCAAAACACTGAACATGTACACTTTGGGGGGGGGGGAAAGAACCATCCATTGAAAGCTTATTTTGGGAACTAAAAGTAGTTATACTGTACACAAAGAACGCTTTACCCATTTTATTTAAATTGTAAACTAAATATATATATAAAATGTAAAAGCTCTGTTCTGATTGGCTGCCCTGTATTGTGACTCATTTAAAAAGCAATGGATGCTGAAACACTGCTTATAACTTCTGGGCAGAGCTAAACTGCTGACATCACAAAAAAGTATGCTGTATTATGCTGTAAAGGATAATTACGATTTATGGATATACTCAGATTATTGTCATATGATAAACAGAACCACTGTGATGTGTTCTCACTGCTTTGTTTACTGTAAAAGGACTGTAAATTAAGTGCCGACATTTCTGAGCTGAACAAAGAAATTAGAAGTACGTACTTGTGGGTTCTCCAATATTCTCTTAACTCCATCCACTAAGTGGGAGAGGAACTTCGCCCTCTCAGCGTTATTGAAGAGAGACCTCCGAACAGACGCTATCTGAACTAAACACGACAGAACCTGAGAGAGACAGAGAGACAGACAGACAGACAGAGAGAGAGAGAAAGAAAGAGAGAAAGAAATAGAGGAAATGACAGATGACAGATAGAAAGTGAATGAAAAGGAAAAAAGAGAAAGAAAGAAAGTGTTGGAGGGAGAGGAAAAAGAGAAAGAAAAAGAGCAGAGAGAGATAGGAAAAAGGAAGAGGAAAGAGACAGTAAGATGACAGATGGAAAGAGAAAGAAGTGTAGGATAAGGAGAGGAGACAGGAAGAAATAAAGACAGGAAAAAAGAAAGGAAAAGAGAGATGGAGTGCTTTATTAATCACAGAGGAGAATTGTGTTATTAAACAGCAATAAGTGTCACGTTAAAAAGAAACAAGAAACATCTCAGTGAAAGGCTGTATAAACAGAACGGCACGGTGAAAATATGTGAGCATGTAAATAAACCGGATAAATGAATATGAAAGTAGTGATGTTTTCTACGCTGTTATATCAGTACAGAAGTGCTGAGAGTGGGCTGTGTTTGTTGTGTACAGTGTGTCTGCCGTCTGAAACTGTACTTATCTCTGTGTGTACGTCACACTGTTTATCTCTCACTCACCAAAGGAGAGAGGGAGGGAGGGATGGAATGATACAAATCAAAAAACAGCTGCAGTGTCGAGGAGTCCAGAAAGGCTGAAGAGGAAAAGAGAAGGAGAAAATAAGATGAACACAGGCATCATTACTCATCAACCACCAGCTAACCAACACCTTCTACTTCACTGTTTCTAAACAAGCACAAATGCAAAATAGACCCTTGATTCCATTTTTATTCGTAAAAGAATATAAATACAGAAAATAAATAAATAAATGAAGTACAGTAATACAAATCAGTATTTCCCATTCACTGATTAAAGATCTCGTCAGTATTAATGAAATGATGCTGCGCCTCACTTCACTACCCAAAGAAGCGCATTACACGAGCCAACCAGATCACAGCGGTAGGTCACCTGATCTCCAGCTCGTGGGGATCTGGACGGTGCACAGGTCGTCTGAGGACTCATCTGTGGACGTGCCGATGAAGTCGAAGTTGAGGCAGTTGTGGGCGAGCTTCAGCAGCTGCATCAGCAAACCGTGCTGACCTTCATCATTCAGGTTCAGGTTCTTGCCTGACGCCTACAGACAGACAAACAGACAGACAGTTTCGTTTTTATACACAAAGAGTAATTGTTTTTGTATCAAAATTACAATTTAAAAGCAAGTAATTCAAATCTCATGGGCTGCAATTTTTTGTTTTAGCCTATAACATTACACACTGTTTTATTATAACTTTAAAATATCAACAACATCTTAGCAAGTCTCAAATTGGGAAATTTACACCAATAGCTGGAAAAAAATTGGACATGCTCGTTTTCACGAAAAAAAAAAAAGCCTGAAGCTTCATTTCTGAAGAAATCACTTGTACACTTGGTACATGAATGATTCTAATTCTATTTATAGAAAATAACTGACAAACAGAAAAACACTATTTACTATATTAATGTTATTTCTGATATTACTGTTTGTTTTTTTAAGAAAATAAACACTTACAGCTCAAATAAATAACTTCATTGTCCATTCCTACCCATTCATCGCATGACACACTAGCAGACATTCTGAGGGCGGAATTTTGCCATACTCTTAGTTTGGGCATGCTAACTTCCTTCTCAGAGACAGACAAACAAACTAACTAACAAATAAACAAACAAACCAACTTACTTAGTAGTTAACTAACCAGATAGGTAGCTAACTAACCAACTAACAAACAAACTAAAACTAATAAACTAACTAGCTAGCTAAGAAGCTAAAAAGCTAGCTTACTAACAAATTAACAAACTACTTAGCTAAGTAGCTAACTGACTTTCCAGACGGTTAAATAGTTAAGTAATTAGCTAACTAACAAACTAACTAGCTAAGTAGCTAGCTAAGAAGCTAATTACCTAGAAACTAGCTAGCTAAGTAGCTAAGAAACGAGCTAGCTTACCATCTAACAAATTAACAAACTACCTAGCTAAGCAGCCAGACAGACTTGGCTGATGGACCACATTTGGTACAGTTCTGAACTATCGCTTTAATCACTACATCAATAATGTGTATCTAAAACCTTTTCTGTGCCCAAATAGACCTTTAGCATCTAAAGAACACTGAGCTCCATCAAATCCTCATTATCTTTCACTGAGAGGACTCTGTAATCACGCCAGTGTGTAATTGGCTGTAGGGGATTAGCTGATTGATTTGATTGGCTGATCGATTTGTGGTTGTGGATGATGCTCACCTGTTTGAGGAGATTGCAGGAAAGCGTGAAGATGTCAAACAGAGAGGAATCTCTGAAGGATGATGCAATCTTCCTGTGTTTTGTAAGCGGATGTGTCGTATCTGCCTGAGTAGAGCAAAAAAAAAAGAGGATGATCAGAACAGCACAGATTTTCACTCCTTCTCATGATGAAGTATATTTAAAGATCATGTGACACACAGGAGTCAGTTATCTGGGTGAGTCTGCAAAGCTGCCACATTAAAGGCAAAGCTCAAATGTTTTTGCTCAGCAAATTTACACACAAAGAGATTTCACATTTATTACTTTACAAAAACCCTGAAATCATAATAAAAATGACAGACACACTTATCAATAAGTATGAATAACAGCCAGTGAATCGATAAGCAGAACTTGTCCATTTCTTTTATTTCCATTTTGTATAGTCATTCACAAAAGTCTGAGCACCCCTATCAAATGAAGTGAAAACAAGTTAACACACCCTCTACAGAGAACAATTATTTATGACATTTTTCTACAAATTTTAGTGCACAATTTGCTGAGTTTAACATATCGGGGAAAAATAAAACAAAAAAATAATGCCAAACAAAGTTTCCATAACTTTTGCACAGGCCACTATTTTTACCATAATGTGTTACATTCAGTAAATAAACAGTAACTGTGCATTAAAATGTGCAGAAGTGTGTCTCTATAGAGGATGTGTTCACTTATTTACACTCAACACAAGCATGGAAATCGACAAGGGGGGCCCAAACACTTGCACACAGCATATATAACAGTATATTCAAGTGGTTGCGTGGTATTAACCCCTTAAAATAAGCATCTATACATGGGTCAACACTTCATTACTCTCATGCCAAAATAATTGTATTATTCTGTGTGAATAAAAAGCAAAATGAGAATTTATATTACTTTAGATCCATAATTTATAGCAGTTATTGGATAAGTCATAAGTCTGAAGCCGAAGCATCTGCTTCTATTGTAAGTGAGCTTAGCGTCATCAGGCTTTCAATTCTTTTCTAAGCAGGTAGAGATTAAAAAGAACACCACAGACCTGTTTACCCTTTAATATTCATTCATTTATTTTTATTTAACTGCTGAAAGAGAGACTCTGGGTGGTTTTAAGAGAGCCTTACCCGCCAAGCAGCGCACAGCAAAACCCCCCGCAGTGCTCACACTCAGTAGAGAAAAGAGAAAAATAGACACTTACATCGTGGAAGAGCGCGGAGGAACTTACTTGGTTAATCTCATTGGTTAACTGGGACAGAATGGTGACTCCTATGATGCAGTGCTCAACACTGTCCTGCAACAGCAACAGACACAGTTAAAGCACAGCAGTGAAAAACTGAACACATATCAAATAAGATCCTTTATCACCAACACAGATACGATCACATTCAAAACTCTGGAAACAATGTTTTCAATTTAAAAATCAAATTAGCTGCAGATAAAAGTACAAACTATTCTAAAATCACACATTAAGCAGCTTTATAGGCTTGTTTAAGAAAAATTAAATTAAAATTAAAATTAATTTCCAGAATAAAATTCTATTAAAATTACCATTAAAACATTCTAATAAAACATACAAGATAAAAACAGATAATTTGACCAGAAACGTCTCGGTCCTAAAATTTTTAAATATGCAGTAAAGCATCTAAAAATACCTTTGTGTCTAGTTTATGACAGGAATAAGTTACTTACCAAATGAAAAAAAATTATTACGCCAAGAAGTTCTAAAATCATCAGCAACTGAGTTTATAATTATCATTCATATTAACGTAAAGGGACATAAAGTATGGCGCGGAAATGTGTTTACCAGTGTTATATTCAAAAATTAGATATAAATTAATACACATTAATAGTTGATAAATGCTCCAAAAACTCACGATCAAAACCGCATCAGATCCCAAAATAATTAACAGTAGTGACTGTATCAGATGTCAAGCATCGGCCGCTTTCTGAACAGTGAGAAAACCCGCATAAACAGCAGTCAGGGCTGCTTAATTATGACAAACATGGTTCTTTTGGTCATTATTGAGATAACGATTATTTAACACGTTAACTATTACTACTACATGATGACTTTGGAAACACTATAAATGTTAAAAAATATATATATTAATTTTATATATTTACGTGTGTGTGTGTGTGTGTGTGTGTGTGTGTGTGTGTGTGTGTGTGTGTGTATATATATATATATATATAAAAAATATTTGAGCGCTCAGCACTAACGGTATATCTGTAATCTGTAGCTAGCTAGCTAACTGCTGGACTGTGCTCCAGAAATCACACTGGTCACACTGAGCTCCCGTTATGAGTCAGCATGGTCATATTTACAGACACCGTGGAGAAATTTCATGTGTGCTTATCACTCACCATGACTGTACAATTCGTGAATAAAGTTCTAGGTTATAGTAGGATCCTGCAGGAGGGGGCTAACACAAGTAGGAACCAGCGTCTAGCTACGCTATAAACTCCAGAGTAATAAACCTTCATAACAAGCACTGTTCAGTTTAGAAAAGCTTAAATAAGCTGCTTGCTGGAAGTTTTGTCTGGGACTCTGAGCAGCAGGAGATCAGTCACTTTATGCGAGGGAGAGAAAAGAACTCTGACCACTACTTTGGCAGATCTGCTGTCAAATTTAGTCCCAACCAACTCTAATCAAACTGAAGAAAATAGCAGAGAAAAGCATTTTCAAAAATCTCCCAACAGCAAAGACCAACATCATTCCGTCTCTGCCAGTTCAGAGTAAAAACACATAGTAGAAGAAAACAAGTAGATGGACTTTAACTGGAGTGTAAAATGACCTGAACTGATCCAACCAGGAACCACAGCAGCCAGTCAGCCGGGTACCAATTTAATGAGCTGAGAGAAAAGTGAAACTGAAAATGACTGTTCTGTCTACGAATGAAAAACAAAGGCCTAATTAAGGAACGGCTGGTTCTTGGCTTAATATGAGCCTCAAACTGCACAATGAAGCAACTAAACCCAACATTTAATCACAAACTGAAACACACACTGTTAGTATACAACGATCCAGATACCCTGCAGTTTCATCCTCCATCCCAAACCAATCGTACCTGCAGGAATCTGGTGACGTCGACGATGACATTCCTGAAGACGTAATCCTCTTTCTGGCAGTCGAACCAGCCGAGTTTGGTGATTCTGGCGTACAGCTGGATCAAGGCTTGAGTCACGAAGGCAGCGAGCTTCGGCCGGGTTGCCAAATAGTTCAGAACGTAATTTCCTAATGAATCAAAAACAAATCTTAGTCAAAGCAAGTAATGAGAGCTTATAGTGTGCTAATTAGCATGATGCTAATTGCATACCTAAATTACACGATTTACACAATTAGCCTCAAATGGTGATCAGTACATACCATGAATTATTAAGTATCTACTATGAATTATTAAGTATCTACTATGAATTATTCAGTATCTACTATGAATTATTCAGTATCTAATATAAATTATTCAGTACCTACTATTCATTATTTAGTATCTACTATAAATGATTCAGTACCAACTATAAATGATTCAGTACCTAATATTAATTATCCAGTATCTATCTACTATAGATTATTCAGTATCTACTATAAATTAAGCACCTACTGTGTATTATTCAGTATCTACTATAGACAATTATCTACTATGAATTATTCAGTATAATTATTAATAATTCTGTCTAAATTAGATCTTTCAACAAACAGGTCCTTAAAAGCAGCATTTGTAAAAGGTTAAATCAGTGTCAGCCTGCATGATTTAAATGTGGTAGTTACTTTCGTAGCTCTTTGTTGCTGCAGTTGCTAAAAAATTGGACCTGCAACTCGCTGCGTTTCCTATTAGAGCTTCATGTGTTAAACATCAAAACACAGCGTCTCTTACGGATGTCAATGCGCTGCTCCAGGGGCAGAGGGTTGCTTGTGCGAGAAACGAGCTTAGAGAGACACGTGGCTGCCAGCAGCTGGGAATAAGAGGACTGTAAACAAACACACATGAGAGGGTTGTTACAGAGACACCCCACTGCACCAGAGTTAGAGTAAACACCTAATGTTTCTAGATTTCTGCTCCAATTTGACACAAAAAGCACCTGACTATGGTTACGACAAAGCAGATAATACTTTATACAGTGATAAGGATGCACTAATGCCATTTTTTCCCTTCTGATATTGACACCTGATCCTGAAGTATCTACCAACACGGGCTCTGATACTGATTCTAACTCTCTGATCAAACGCAGATGACACATGTACCAAAAACAATTAAGTCATAATTCATTTTATTCTTAGAATAAAACAGGCTATTTTTGTTACTGTACCTTTGATACTGATATATGTAAATGAGCTCTGTTCAGATTGGCTGTCCTGAAGTGTGCCTCATTTAAAAAGCAGTCTGGACTGAAACACTCCATATAACTTCAGTGTGAGTGGGCAGGGCTAAACTGACTTGACTATGTGAATATATTTAAATGTGCTGGTTTTTGAGACATCACAAAAATATGGATTCTAAATAGTTTTAAGCACTGACCATATGGATTTGAGATTTAACGGTACATTTTAAAACTTTACATCCTACATCAAACTACTCTGATATTTCTTAAAAGCACATTTAACTTTCAATGATATGGGCCCTTTTAGTGGCAGCATACTGTACTGGTGCAGCACTATTTTATATAGTAGGCTCAGATAAGCAGTGAATTTCCACCAGTTTGGGGACTATTTAAAAATAAAATGTATTAAAAAGGACATGTTTTTTTTTTTGATTGACCGTTTATAAATACGAACAAAAATATCTACACTCCTAAATAATTTGTTTGCAGTCATGGTAAGAGGTTTTTTGCTATACGAAATCTGTTTTTCTTAAACATTTTCAGGGCCAAAGAAGCCTTTACAAAGAAGTAAACTGCAGTTCTGAATCATTATATTACATTACGCATGTTTACTGAAAGCATGAATGTCCTGTTATAAAAAATGCAAATTATACACTTATTATCCTAGTATACACTGTGACTTTGTGACTGAGTGAATGAATTAGGCCTAATCTAATGTAAAAGCAAAGAAGCTTTGGGTTCTACATAGGATACTGGATAAGACTATATTTACTATAGTACTCACACTTCCTCTCTCCAGCAGCAGCTGGCACTTGCTGAGGCAGTCCGGGCTGTTGGTGAACTCCACCAGAGCTTTCTCAGCCTGTAGACGTGTGCTGGTGTCTGTCGTCTCATACAACTGCTTGCACAGGATCTCTAGCTGGGCTAGGCTCTGCAGAACACACACAAAAAACACATCACCACAGAGGCGCAAAAATGTATCAAAGCATCATAAGAGACCTTATTAACCAAAGCTGCAAACAGTCAAGTCTGATCGTAAGACAGTTTTGTTTCTCATCAGGTTCATCTTTGTCATATCTGCGTGAGCATTTGAGAGGAATAATTGACTCAAAAAATACTTGATTTGCAGATAACTAACCAAAACTATTATAAATATTGCCTATAATACCAACAACAAGAACACAAACAGAAAATAACCACAATACTTATAATTTGTGCTCATGGCAATCCGGTACAAAAGTGGATGTACTTATTTTACATGCACATTAATATAAACAAACACTGCAACTATTACATGATCCATCTTAAGACATTACACTGTGCTTTTGTTTTATACTACTAGCTCCACCTACGACATCTCATACACTGCAAGAATACAGTGTTTATATATGCTGTTCTACCATCTCAAAAACACGAAGATCTTTTGATATTTTCACCTTTTATTCTTTCCAGTCGTAATTTTAACACTATAAAGTTTGGACAGTAGGGGGAGCAGTGCACTCACTGGCACAGCCACTGGCTCACGAGCCGCTAAATGCTGTCGTTTTATTGTTGAAACATCTGCATGATTTATAGCATGCTTTGTGTAAATGATATGTAAATGAGGTGCTGGTAGGCGCTTAATTTCATGCACTGAAGCTGACTGACCTCAAATCTCCACTTGTTTTCATGTTATATGAAAGGTATATGAATCAGATGCAGAGCAGTTTGTACGTCATTAAAGGCGCTCTTTTTTACCCAACTATGCTGGGCTAGTGTTAGAAACAACTATGACAGGTTGATCTATATGTTGTTCAGTTTTGCTTAGTATTTTGGACAATACAAATATTTCAGATTTATTTTGGTTGTTAAAAATGGTTTTTCCTAAAAAAATGAAGGAAAATCCCAAAATTCTAATCAACTGTTGACCTAAAAAAATAGCATCTAAAATGGATTTATTTGGGGGGAAACACAGACACACACACAGACACACACACAGACACACACACAGACACACACACAGACACACACACAGACACACACACAGACACACACAGACAGACACACACAGACAGACACACACACAGACACACACACAGACACACACACAGACACACACAGACACAAAGGGCTTCTTATTGTTAGAAACTTTACAGAACGATTTGTGGAACAATACAAAGTGTCATGATACGGTATGATATGATACAATGACAAAACACACCACACACACAGACATTTCATTAAGGTTTACCTTACAATTAGTTTTAAAAACTACAGTAACAAGCAGGGCTGAAAGATTAATTGTTTTAATATCGAAATCGCAATTTCACAGAGTGCAATTCTCAAATATGTAATTTTTTTTTTTTCATTACTTTATCAAACAGGGGAAATTTAACCTAATAACACAGAGCCTGTGAACTGCCTGTAGATGAGTTAGACCAAACAGAGGCAACCAAACCTCCATGTGTTGTGACATTAACCACAACTTCAGTCATTCAGGGGCAAGCCTCACCATCCCCTCTTCATGTGTTAATGCTGATGATAAAATATTACAGTGATGGTGGTGAATAATGAGGAGACAGAGCTGAATGTGTGTCTTTATTAGGAGGATTAACATTAGCGCGCTTGGCTATAGCGTTCGGGAAATGGAGACTGAAACTGGGGAGTGGCGACACTGATAAACAGGGGTGCTCTTACAGTATTCACAACTTACAGTTTCACAGTTTTGTTTTGACCTTTTTTACATCAGTAACAGCAGCTGAAACTTACATTTTTAACATTGTTTTGATTGTGTTTATGTTTCAGCTGTGTGTGTGTATGCTCGGTTGCTAGATTTCCTAAATGGAGAGAAGATGCTGTACGATAAGATAAAGTTATTAAATGAAGATCAGATTTGCTTCTGTAATATGAATGAGAAAAATCGTATATTGACCCGTCAGATCTTCTTCAGAAGTTTCTGCAATATGGACTTAATTCACTTTAACTGACTGTTAGGGCTGGTTAGGCAGGTCAAGAACGGTCATTGGGAATTGAGAGCGGATGACAATTCCAGAGCAAAATAAATTCTCTGACTCTTTAAAACTCTGCACCCAACAACCATGAGCTGCTTTAAGCAGTTGGCTGAGGATCTGAAAATGAAAGTACTAGATGCCTACAAAGCAGGAGAAGGTAATAAAAAATATCAAAGCACTTTCACCTCACAAGTGTCACTGTTTTACAGCAGTTTAGCCCCGGCCATTAACACAGGAGTTACAGGGCTGAACAGTCTGACTCAGGAGGTAAAAATCCCACTCAAAATTGCCACAGGAAATTTGGTTTTTACCAATCATACTTTATCCAGCCAACACAGACTTACCTGGAGCTACAAGATTGTGAGAATCTGACTCTCTTTTTGTCTCAAGATCTGACGGGTCAAGATAAGACTTTTCACAACTTCATATTATAGAAGCAAATCTGATCTTCATTTAAGAATCTTATCTTATAGCATCTTATCTCAAGTTAGGAAATCTTAACTTACTCGCTCAAAGTCGACAATCGACTGTCATGTCTGTCACCTAGCAACAGACCGTACAGACACAGTTTAAATGTAAACACATTCAAAATAATCTAGTTAGCCAGACAGCGACTGTTACTGATGTACAAAAAGGTCAAAACTAGTGTGATAAACTGTAAGCTGTGAATACTGTGAGAGCGCCCCCTGCTGTTTATCAGAGCGTCGCCGCTCCCCAGTTTCAGTCTCCATTTCCCAAATGCTTTAGCAGAGCATGCTAACGTTATTCCTCCTAATAAACAGACAGCTGTTCAGCTCTGTCTCCTCATTATTCACAACCATCATTCTAATATTTTATAATCTACATTTGACAGAGTCAAAAAAGAAAAACACCTCACAGTGAAAGCAGCGCTTTACAGTATAAATAAATGTAGCATCATTATGCTAGTAGTGAACTATGCTGCTGACACAGCTAACACGATAGAAACGGATGCTTAAACAGAAGTTAGGACACTGTTGGGGTTTATCCTAAAGTTAGGACGGTATTTAGGAGATTTAGTCTAGTTAGTCTAGTTAGGCTGTTTGTGTGATACTGTTTTCTTACCTAGAGTTAATGATGAGATTATGTAGTTAGGAACTGTTATTCTGTAAAAGCTACAGTCCTAAATTCAGTCCATAATGAAGTCGTCATGGAGACTAAACAGATCAGATTTCAGAGTGAAGATGTTTCTATGATTCAGCTCCTGATGTGCTGCTGTTAACACGGAGATTCAAACTCTGTGGTTTGGTGGCAGAACAACATGTAGTCTAAGCACAGATAACAAGCGTATATATGTTACACACTAAAGACTTCACTTCACACATTAATGCAGAATTTAACTTTCTCCACTCCTCAGGTTCCCTTTCAGTAATTATATTTGTCCTTTGGAGCCACTTCAATAAGTTAAATAGGAAGTCAGGCCATATTAGGATTAATATAATTCTTATAAGGTTAAAAAAAATAATTCTTTTGTAAGGTTCACTGTGCCACACCAGCTAAGAAACGTGATAGCAAAGATAAACTGCCTGTTAAAACTATAAAAGATACAATTCAAACAGTCTATATACATAGAATTGTACCATATATAATAATAATAATAATAATAATAATAATAACAACAACAATAATAACAACAACAACAACAATCATAATAAAAAGAAAAACAGTAATATGTAGTTCATCCCGACATTAAACACATTAAGCACACAGTCATGTACCTTCACTTCTTTGTTTATCCAAATCTTTTTTTGCTCCGATTTAACTTTTATAGTGTCATAATTTATCTGGAACCTGACTGGTTTGATTGAAAGCATAAGCATTAAAGGATTTTTCAAAATCTCTATGAAGAAAATAATTTACTTCTGGAACCAGAGCAGCTGAAAAACTGGGCAGCTCTAAGGGTGTTTTCACACTTGGGCCGTTTCAGCGTCTGAAGTGAACTCAGACCCCCCTAAACGGCCCCGTTTGTAGTTCGTTTTGTGGTTCGATTAATTTGTGCATTGTGAAAACAAAACAGCCCCAGTCCGCTTCAGCTTTGCTTTATGGTGAAGAGCAAGGAGACCAAGGATCATTTATAAGGTTCTACTCAGGATAAAGTCTGTCCGTGATCTGAGACAGACAGCAGCGCTGACTTATTAAAGCGATCAGATGCGAGAGCTCGCGTGATTATACCGTGTTAAAGGCTCGAGCTGGGCACGCAGCGCAGTTTTCAGCTGCTTTCACTCTGAACGCTGAATGAATGAAAATTCAGCCGAACACGGAGCCCACCGCAGACCCGCAGGGCCGTGTTTCCAATTTTGCGCAATGGACTTTGGCCAATCGTTCCAGCGCGGCCAATAGGAGAGCCGCGGGCGGGTCTGGCGGTTCTTCTCGTCACCTGATAGCTCGGATTTATCAGAGAACGCGGCCCACTTGGCGAGCGTTGTGCACACCGTGAGTGCTGTGATCTGTGAGCTGTGGTCTGAACAAGAAGTGGTCTGAGATCTCAATGGACCAGAAAGAAAACTGAGTCCTGTTTAGAGTTCACTTACATTGTGAACACAAAAAGAACTGAGGTCACTTGCAGTTGGTTCCCTTCCAGGTTCACTTTAACAGAACTCGGTTCGGTTCTTTTAAAACGAACTATATGTGAAAACACTGTAAAAGGAGTGTTTCAGCCTGGACTGCTTTCTGAATGAGGCACAATACAGGACCAATCAGAACAGAGCTCATTTACATAAATCAGTCTTAAATGCACAATAACAAAAGCAGCCTGTTTAATTGTGAGGGATGGAGAGAGGCTTATTGAATTATGACTGTTTTTGGTGCTGTTAAGTTGATTTCGGAGGAAAAAATGATGAGACCGAATAAAAATGCAGGATATGGGGCCTTTAAAATGGAATTTGTTTATCCAGTTGAGGACTTTTAGTTAGTCGTTCCTTCC